CGTAATATCGACCTCCAAGTTGATCGTAAGTCCCTAAAAGTTGACAAACAGGTGTCGTGAGTTATAATTATGTCTCGCCAATGCCATTTCTACGATCAACCAAAAGTTCAACTTACGATCAAATTTTGAATCTACGATACAAACAAATATTTGTAATTGTATTCGAATCGGTTTTAAAAAGTATGGTCTTGAAACGATCATCATAAGCATTTGCATATTTCAGTGGACACATGACTCGGATGTTCGTTTACCATTCTTAAATTTTAATTTATTTGGTAAATCTGTGGAAGTTTGTACTACAAAAGTTCAAATGTCTGCTTTTCGTTCAAGTACACGTGTCGTTTAATCAATTCGCTGTTATAATCCGTTACCGATTTAATATGTTAATGTATTTGCGATCTATATTAATCCCCCTGATATAAGCGAGTTTAGGCCCAAGCTCACCAATATAATCAATATTTATCTAAAATTGATATATAATCTCAATTGGGGTTTATTATGGCTTCTAAAGTTCTAAGATACCGTATCTTACTGTATATAAAGCGAGACGATATAGGTCGTCGAAAAGTGTTTCGATAATTTAACAAAATTAGCAAAAAAAATGTTTTTGAATTTAGAAAAATCCCGGTTCGGTCCCGGTGAAAATTCGGCATTTTAGCCGGGACCGGGATTCCCAGGATTAAGCCGGGATCCCGGTCGAACCTTGAACACAGGCCAGTGTATTGATAAACTGTTGAACCCAGTTAGATCTGATCTCTGTGAATGATGCGTTTCTTAATATCTGCGTTTCTTTATATTCTGTTTATGTTCATTACTCTTAGTATAATAACAAATATATGATCTACTACCGCATGGTGCATGACGGAACAGGTTGAAATATTTTGTAACGAGGAAAAGTCAATCAACTTGATATTATATCAGTTGCGATAGCCACAAATCTCTATAAGTCATATCTTACTATATACTTATATAAAGCGAGACAATAATATATATGTATATATGCACATTTTGTATGATGATATTTCGTAGATCGAGTCTCAGATAGAATGATTTTGTTACAGATCTTACGCCAGCGTTGAACGTAATAGATGCGATGATGGGTCGTACAGTGTATGCCAATAATATCAAACATATTCAATTATTTGTGTTTTTGTATGTGTGATTCACTCACATTTACAATAATTCGCACAAGGAATCAAGAGAAATGATTATCTACATGCTGATGTGGATGTTAGCGATCTTGAGCGGAAGTTTTGCTGACGCTTCTGTTTATACCAGTATGTACTTAACTTAATTATTGGTTTTAAGTTTGGTGTTTTCAGAAACAGCCATTTGCTAAGTTTTAGTGTACTGAAAACAAAAATTTTTCACAAAAATAATAATATTAATTATAAAGCATTCGAATACATTATACACTGTACAATAGTATAATTATCATTTCTGTTTCAGTTTTCGACGTGAGTCCACAAGAAATGCAAGAAAGTCAAGAGTTTGAAGCCTCCACAAAATACGGCGACACATCGATATTTGTGTTTAAAGGTAAAAGACACTGTCCGTTATAGTAGTTTTCGAGTTTTCCACGTGATAAATCCCACTATATTGCCCATGACCCTGACGAAAAAAAATGCTACCCATGTGATCCTAGTAAGTTAATATTCCAATGTATTGCTAACTGCTTGTAAAAATAAATATTTGTTTTATTAAATATTTGTACGTGGTAACTGAGACTGTATTTTCCAGGAACGTTCGTTTCAACATCAGGCACAGCAACCGTGTACATAGGGCAACATTTAACCGACGGATCCTTTGACGAACCGAACAGAGGATACGAAATAGCTATACAGAAACATCGAATTAATGCTTGGGCATACGATACCAACAAACAGAGTAAGTTTAAGCTTTGCTTATTTGGTTATTTTTGTCCGGCCCTAGCTTGACATTAACGCTAATAAGTTAAGAGGCATTGAAAAAATAGCGTTACAAAATTTGTGAATTTAGCTCAATAATGGTATTGACGTCATAGCAGCAAAAATTAGTAAGTTAGTACATTTGGCGATTTTTTAAAATCCCCGAATTCGTACCATATGATAATGGCTTTTAGTTCTAATGACAATGTAAACGATTTATTTAAACAGTTGCTCTGATCCAAATCCCGTCCATTAAGAAACACGATGTGTCATGTTTAGCACGGCTCATGATTTATTTTGAAGTGGCATGTTTCTAATTTAGCTAAATAAAAAAATAAAACTAGCGTTCAACTCAATCATACGACTTTCACCATTCTGCATGCGGCAAAATCCCGACTAAAAATGAAATAACCTACCTAATTGTATATTCCAGGTGGTATGTATACGAAATTCAAAAAAATTGGAAAAAATTACAGCTTTAAAAAAGACGAGGATATTGAGTTAACAATAAATATCAACAAGCAAGGCAATCTAGAATTTGCTCTCAAATCAGAGGACACTTCCTTCACACGTAAGTGCAGCTCACTTAAAATTCAATTTCAAACGTACTGACATATCTGAAGCCCATTCTAAATAAATTTAAAATAAACTTCAAAAATATATAATATTACAATCTAAATAAGATTATCAGCAATCGATTATTTCAGTTGGGAGACCGAATTTCGCCTTTACAGTCACTTTATCCAATTGGAAGAATAAAAATATAGAGGTCTGTACATGATATTATTTTATAGTTTTCTCGAAATTGTACATGCATAGTTATCGATTTCAAAACTTACAAACAGTTTTACAGTATAAATATCAAATATGGCTCACAATATTTCTTGAGAAACTCACTCCACATTACTGCTCCTTGTCAGCTTTTATTGACCGTCTTCCCGGGTCCTCCATCAATTAATTCTGGTTACCTTAGTCCAGCAGGTTGAATTATGGACAGTTTTGTGATCTTTAATGATCTTTATTATTCCAATATCTTACAGGTTTTCACTTTTTAAGAACTTGGGCATCAAACTTCCATACTTCATTTGAAATATAACCTAAATTGACAAATTTCCATTTCCACAGATGGAACTTAAGTCCAATAACGACTTGGTATTCACCTCAATAAAAGCAACAAGTGAGGGATCAAGTGACGAGACCGAAACCTGCTCAGCCGGCGAAAAGAAAAGTGTTCAAAACATCTGTGAGTCCTGTCCTGAGGACACTTATGGAGATGACGGACTGAACTGCAATTCTTGTCCTGAACATTCCACCTCGGAGAAGGAAGCAACTTCAGTCTCTGACTGCAAATGTCTAGCTGATCGATACATGGAAAGTGGAATTTGCCAGGAGTGTACCAACGGGAAGAAGTCGGCCATTGGATCAACCTCAGTAAACGACTGCAAAAGCTCAAATAACTTTTTAGACCCAAGTAAGTTGAATAAATATGAATCGTTCATAAACCAATAAACTTATAAACCTATAATTAATAGATTTATCATGTTATGTCTTAGAGAACATAAATAAAGAGCAAATTTCAAGGAAGTATTTACTGGGCCGCGCTCAGCCTGTCATTCCGCCAAATCTTTGTTAATGAACATAATAGCCTGGGGTCCTCAGGTAAGGAAGTATCAGGGTTAGAGGAATTGAGTAATTGGGAACTGAGGCGCGGTCGAGATTGGAGAATTAGGCTATGCATTATGCACCTTAGGCTTAGATGAGAAGTATGGGCCCGTACGACTAGTATCACGTACTTTTTAGTACCAAAATTTTATAAGATTTGAATTTTTTGTAATATAAAATATTGGACGCAATATTTTGGAACTTCGTATTTTTTAAAAGGTAAATATTCAGGTACTAAACAATCAGGATAAAAATAAAAGTCGACTTAGCTCGTATTTATATTTTCAAACAGTCCTAAATATATTTTCAAACAGTCGTATTTAAAATGTTTCTCTATTGCATGGTTTTTTGGGACAGCACTTTTCAGTAAAAATTTAAAAGTACGTATGAGACTGTCGAATTGAAAAGTACGACTAGTCCGTACTTCTCATCTTACTCTTAGTTATGCACAGCTGTATGATATTATATTTTACGATCAGGTAACCAATCAATGCCCAGGGGAGCATGAATTTACAATTTCGGACTTTTGGGCAAAAATTATGTTGTATGTTGCCGTAATACTGATCCTAAACTCAGATATCAAACCAAGTATATAGTTTTAGTGTTACAAATAAAACGGCGATTCAACAAACTTTAAGTTTCATGCAATCATTAGTGTTAGAATAACTTACTATTAGGGGCCATCTACTTAGGACGTCCGCCAAAATCACAGAATTTCAGACCACCCCCGCCCCCCCCCCCCCCCTGTCCGGGTGTGCTCGAATTTTCAAAACCAACCCCCCCCCCCCCCCCCCCTCCCTTGGACGTCCGGATTTCCAGCTACTTTTAAGAGTACAAATAAAACCAACTCAAATTCATTGTTAGAAAATTCAAAGAGTTGAAATAATTAATTCTACCAAAATTTCCAGAGGTCCGGATTTTCAGAAACCACCCCCCTCCCCCCCCCCCCCCCCCCCTCCCTATTTGCCGGACGTCCTAAGTAGATGGCCCCTTACTAAATCCATATTTTCCTTACAAGCTCCTTCATAAAATGAACTCAAAACATAACGAAACGAAACGAAAAACAAAAATTTTTTGGTGTGCCTTATACAATGTACATTTGCTAATAAGTTCTTTTCTCCTATTTAGTAGATTGTCATCTTTATCTTAAATAATATACCTAAGGTTTTTTCAGTAAGGCAGAGATCACAATCTTTGGTACCCCCACCCCAAAGTAGGTATTTTGTACCAGATTTCAGGTCTACGAAACTAATAAATACGAACAACGGATATTGGTTTATAATATAAATTCTAACATTTAAAATTAAAAATGTATCGAAGTGCTAATACACATAGTTCAAAGCAGATACTATTATATTTATATTATGCCTACGAATAAGATTAAGGGGGTGAAATGTAACGTAACTCAAAGTTTTTTATTTAACACAGATATCATACTTGGGCCCAGAGTTCACATTAAAAATTGGAGCAAAGAATACATGCAGTCAAGGGGAACATGAGATACGTTCCAGTAAAACGTGCTTGGTTTTGAATTGGATCGATTGCCCATTGTTTGTGAGTGTTTCTTCATTTTTAAAGCTGTTTGAACTTTGAAATATGAATTCAAAAATTCCTCGTCTCCTCGTTTTAAATGACCTGACATCCGCATTAGATTAAAAACATGAAACAATTTAGAACCACTCGATTAAAGAGTCAGAAGTATCTCACGCCTTGTAAGGACGCAGGATTCCGTTGTAAACAGCGACCGCAGTTGCCGTCCCCAAAAACGGAAGCAGTCCGAAGGCCTGAGAGGTAGAGTGTTGTTATGTGGTGTCATAGTAATTAATAGAAGATAGAATATGGTGGATTTCTGAAACATAAAGTATAGATTCAATGAGCAAAGAGCCACACTACCGGGCCCAAAATCTGGAAACGAATTCAATGATTTAGGGGTGCCTATTTTTACCCATAGATGGTGAGTCCAGGCTCCGCAGACTATATACCAGCAAATCACTATTGGATTAAGACCAGTCACGACATAGGGTCCCTGATGGGAGGTAATGTTTGATATTGTAAACAGTTAGCAATCAAGGTTTCTGCTAAGCTCTAATAATCAAATCGGTCTGCGGAATTCTTGTTATCATACAGCATGGAAATTTGAAGCCTAGAACCTTGGGTTATGTATTTTTTAAAGTCCAGCTTGTTTTCTTGAGTACATTGTATACTGAGAGCAAGTTAAGTGTATTTACCATGAAGAGAAGAGCAATATGAATACTCATTCCGATAGCGAAGGGTTGCAGGAAACAATCGGCATGACCTCTTCTAGCGTCAATTGCTGCCAGAGTGACCAGTATCATCATCCAGCTACCAGCCACCATGAATATTATTACCTGCAAATTGCAATGTGGAGTTCCGATGGTAACACTATCACCTGCGCCAATTAAAAAATATCGTCTGATTTCCATGATTCAGATTTCAGTTAGTCTATTGCATAACAATAATCACGGTGTTAAAGAGTACTCACTCTGATCACATTAAAATCTTCGAATGTTGGAGGTGCGAAATCTGGAAGATCCTCAAAATCACCAATTCCCCACAGCAAACCTGAAATCAAACAGTGCACATACCATGGCATCTCAAGTCTTCTTATATGATTTATTAATAACATAAATAGCCTCATTAAAGTATGCCCAAAGAGCAGAGTTTCATACCTGCAGCAGCGAAACCACCACAGAACTGCACGAAAATGTAACAAATCATTTTGATGAAGGAGATCTGAGTATCCAGGAAGAACATCAGTGAGATGGAGGGGTTCACATGACCTCCTGACACATCCGCACATAGGTAGATCATCAAACATACAGCTGGGGGGGGGGGGGTACCAGTTATCATCATAGTATCATCATAATGCTTAATATTGACGAAAATAAGTAGTCTATAGCGATGGAAGAAAGATTTTTAAACATTACTATTTTGACAGAATTAGAACTGCCAGTACCAATTACCGAGCGTCTGTCCTAAGAATATTTGTTACATTTACTTACTCATCCCAACTCCGAAGGATGTGGAAAAGTTGAAGAGATCCGTGGTTCCGCTGTCATTTAATCTTGCTATGATCCTGGGGTTTATTCCACCTGAAGGGTGATACCGTAAGTTAATTATAAAATAGTTATTATAATTTGGAAGTATTTATAAACTCTAGCTATATCACGGTCCAAGGCTTCATTTGAAACATGAAGTCTAGAAGTAGATATAGAATTAGAACAACAATGGTTCATGGTTGCACTGAAGGTGTCAATGATGCTCTGGTTTCGATTTATAATTCATCAGTAACATAGCACCTGTAGCGAAAAGTACGAGCATGAAGATTCCAAGAAATTCAGCAAACAGCGCTCTGAGTCCCGCCTCATTTGTGAACTCCTTAAAACTGCCAAGTTTCCATTGTCTTTTAGGGAGCTCCTGAAAGAGAACAAAATTCAACAAGTGCAAGTTGCGGTTTCTTATGTGCGCCACCACCAAATTTCCCTACCCATAATCAGATAATGGTATTTACTGGAACACACTTAACCTGTCATTCCGCCATATCTTCAATCTGAACACTAAACCTGAGGTCCCTATTCCCAAGGTAAAATAGGTCACGAGTCAGGAGTGAAATCTGGTTAAAGTGGTTGATATTGTATCTAAAAAAGCAAGTTGTTCGGATGCAGGACTCCACGTGACAATAAGACACAAACAAAACATTAAGTATGCGTCTATAATTATAGTTGACCAATTATTTGAATCTGCAGTATATATCAGTATTCAGTACTGATTGAGCTGCGGATCAGTTTTAGTGATAAAAAAGAAGACGCTAACCTTATTATTCGGCAGAGCACCATTACAAATGGTTTGTCCAACATTTTCTTGAACTGACACAGTTAGTGGATTCTCTACGATCATTACAAAGTCATCACAGAAGTGTTAAAGTTAATTCTGAACGACACTCGAATGTACTGCAATGCTAGTGTACTTACTATTATATTGGTGCTGTTAATGACACTCGAGTCATTAGGGGGTATTTTACTTTTACTACATTATTTTTGTTAGATTATCGACAAATCACGAGTTTTAACTGCTCAGATATCTGGCTGACTGGCTCAAACATTAGGCTCACTGAACCTAAGTCTTGACTTTGCGGATCTGAGTATTGACGACACTGGATTACAGCGGCTCATGATCAAATCATACGTATTCAATTTCATAAAGAGAGTACCTACTCAGTACTATATACTCAGATTTAGTCTGCAGTGTTTCCAATCTTTCGGTGGATTACTTGTTGTACTTGTATAACATGCCCTGAACCAAAACTTGCGGTCTATTTTGACACATAGTAATTCGTTATTAAGGCGCCTGGAGAAAACATGCTATTGCTGGTTGTGCCCATCAGATCTACCTTTACAAGTAACTCTTTCATGCAGGATGGTTCATGAGACTATTGACAAAATATTCCTGCACAGAAATGCTTTTGACAAATTAATTCTCAGAAAATATTCGTAATGTTAAAGCCCTAAGACGTAGAACCCTGATTTGACATTTCTGTTTTTTCGGATTATGCAAGAAATGTGTTTAACCAAATATTGATGTCTAGGAGCTCCAATGTGATCGCAAAGAATTAAAATTTACTTTGATATAGGCATGCTCGAGGGCCTGGGGACCCACTACAGGAATCGGAACAAGAAATTGGGTTAACATACCAGCCGAATCGAAATATTTCTTGTAGTTTTATAACCAACCAAGACACGCGCCGAGTTGGACTCGTCGACGGTCTAACTCTAATATATTTGAAACAAATATTTTACGAGCATCACCCGTTAAGATATTTCAAGTTTTGGAAAATTGAAATATAAAAACTCTCATTCGTCTGCCATAAATGATAATTTGACCGGCCATATATAATGATTTGACCGGTCGTTCTGCACAATTAAATTAAATTGCACCCTCAATGAGCTCCTTTTTGCCAATATTAATCAGAAAACTCTAGCCGAAAAGGGGTTTATTCTCGAAAGTGGCAATTAGTACACTTACAGGAAGGAAACATGGTACCTGGAGAACCCTAGACAAGAACAATAAATCTAAGTAGAAGAGGAATAAAGGAGATATAAACAATTTGTAAGAAATCACAAGAAAGTTGAATCGTTGAACATTCTGTAACTACAGCCACAGTGTGGGCCATAAGTCAGTACCCCCTACGTTGGGTCTTATACCTCCGCCGTGTTTCATATTTGAGAGTTGTTGCTTTGCAGATGGCATACTGTGTCTGTACCTACTACTACTATGTCAGAACTAAGTCCGATCTACGCCAGATAATCCCCTCCATATATCCCTGTCCCGCATCAGGGTTCGCAGTTCCTCTTTAGATTTTATCCCAACTTCCTTCAGTAACATAGACATTAGACAAGTAGCTTTGTCTTGGTCGGCCTTGCTGTGCTCTACCGTGCGTAGGTTCACATAAGACTAAGTCACTGGCGAGAAGGTCAGGATGTCGGATGCAGTGTCCCGCCATTTTTAATCTCCTGCTTACTAACTTGTTTGACAGCCTTGGTAGGCTACCATACAAAGTTATATTGCTGACCTTGTCCTTCCATGAGATTCCCAGCACCATACGCAACATCTTTGTGTATGTCCCGTCTAACTTTTTCTCTTGAGCCTTTGTCAGTGTCCAGGTTTCTGATCCGTAGAGCAGTACTGATTCACAAGCCGCTATGAACAATATGATTTTTAGGCTCTTTGCGAGTTTGGATTTCCATATATTCTTCAGTCTATGTAGGGCACCCCACGCTTTTTCCTTTCTAACCCTTATCCCTCTATCTGTGCTCTCAATCAAGGAGCCTAAGTAGATGAAATCATCCACATTTTCTATGGCTTCCCCGAATCGACTTTGTAGGTTGCTAGATCGATCCTCCATATTCAGTGTCATGACCTTGGTCTTGCCTTCGTTTATGTGTAGCCCAACGCTTGCTGCCGCCGATTCTACTCTGAGCAGGAACTCGTTAGCCTTGTCCATGTCCTCAGATATAAGTGCTATATCCTCTGCAAAGTCCACATCGGTGATAATCTTGGGCCCCACTCTTCTGCTTTTTCTACATTCGAGAGTGAGTCCAAGTCGCTCCGCATCATCACCTATGGCTTGCCTCATAGTTATATATATAGTAGTCGATAACTATTGCAAAGAGGTAAGGTGCTAAGATATCACCCTATAATACACACCTGCGAGTATCTCGAACAATTCCGTTTCTCCGTCTGGAGTTAGGACTTTGGCCATTGTCTTCTCGTACATGAGCCGTATAAGCTGTACGATTTTGACTGGAATGCCGTAAGCTTCTAGAATCTTGAATATTTTCCCACGATGTACACTGTCGAAAGCCTTCTTAAAGTCTATAAATGTCAGAACAGCAGGCAGTTTCCGACTCTTGACACCCTCTAATTCTATAAGACGCCTCAGTACCAATATCTGTTGAGTTGTTGACCTTCCTGGTCTGAATCCATTCTGCTTTCTGCGCAGAATTGTCTCGATTTCTGGCTTCAACCGGTTTAGGACCATTTTGTTTAGAGCCTTGGCAACTAGGGATGACAAGCTTATTCCCCGATAGTTCATTGGTTCGCTAAGGTCACCCTTCTTTGGAAATGGTATAATGTTTATTGTTGGCAGTTGACCATTGGTCTGGTTTCTCACCTTTCAATAGAGCATTGTTACAGAAGTCTAAAACATAAAACAATTTGATCAAGGTCGCATCATTTTAGGACTTCTGGGGCTATGTTGTCGTCACCCCATGCTTTCCCTTCCTTTATACTGGACTTTACCTACTTGTTCGAGGATTCTGTCGCCAAAATTTGAAAATTCGAGGTCACATAACGGGGTCACATAATCACGTGATTAGGTAAGCCAATTTCACCTGATCACACGTAATGAATAAAATCGTTATGCTTCTTATCTCGGTCATCTTGCATCTGAGAAGCTACAGCTCTAATTTATTCAGGACAAATGTATAGTTAAGTAGTTCGAATGGCCTTACCTGAGGACCCCAGGCTTTAATGTTGATAAATAGAGATTATAGGCGGAATGACAGGCTGAGCGCGGCCCAGTAAGAATGGCCAAACACAATTCAATAAAATGTAGCTCGATCCGACTATCCAAACTATCAAATAATTGCAAAAATGAACCTTCATTTGAAAAAAATGAATTAAAATGAATATTTTTCGATTTGACAAATTCCTCGAACCAGTGGTGGTAGTAAATCATACCAAAAAAATGATTGTTTCAATTGGGCACTCAGTGACTGAGCTATTAGCTTGACTTAAACTATGACAACAAAATTTGGAATTAAAAGTTTTGCTTTTCCAAGCTGAAAACAATCCAGTAAAAATATTTCCGAAATTTATAAGTTTTCATGTTTTCTATCCCGATTTCAGAGTCCCCACCAGCCACCCCACCCTCGATATACGATATTTGAGTCGAGGCTCCCCCTTTGTAATGCGATCTCTGAGTCTGAGGGCAGGCCTCCCTTAGCAATACGAGGTCGGAAGCAGGGAGTCTGCCATTAAATTTACATACCGAGAATGACTCGGGCCGAAAATTTTCTAGGTCAAAAACTTTCCTGGAAACTACTATTCTCCACAGTTCATGTCACCCTGATCATTATGAGCCGAAAATATTTTTCAGGACCTATAAGCCGTCGAAATTTTTTCCTGGAAATTAATGAAATTTCTGATTGATATCCGGCCAAACACCTTATAAACTGCTTACTTTAGTCGGATATCCGATCAATTTCTAAATTTTATCACTATCAGAGTGAAATTGAGTGGAATTTGAATTAAAATTATGTCAAACTAGTGTAACCCGGCCTACGGCCGGGATTTCACTGCCGCAGTTAAAAAGGGTAGGAGTAATTACCCGCTGAGTCAAAACCCGGATTAGGCGAGCAATTCTATTCGGAGTGCCCTCACGTATCCAATAGTATGCTTAAAAGATAGTAATTCTTAATCAATAATCAATAGAAATTAACCCTTAACACCATGCACCACACCAGCCTATCATATTTGTGAACATGCATTACATTGTCGTATGAAAGTATGAACTCTCTCTACAGTCCAAACAGACCGTTTGAGCACTCCCTCCCCTAATAAGTTTATAGTATTATATGACCATGTAATATATACGCCATGTAATATATACGCTACATATGCAGAGAGAGAGAGAGCTAGCCCCGTAACTCTTGCCGTTCTTCTCAAGCCATTTTATGTAACATATTTTGTGGTACAAAACCATCAATTAAACCACTTACCACCGGCCGATTTTTATAAAATTTGCTTATTGGCTTCGTCAGAGTTTTGTCGGCACTATACCGAAAAAACCAGTCCCGTAACTATTACCGTTTTTTTTGTATAACCGTTCGGAAATTACACACAGACACACACACAGACACACACACAGACACACACACATTCTGGTGTTATTAAGTTGATTGTTATTATTCTATGAAAAAAGAAAATTTTGATTTCGTAATCAACAAGTAACAACCAACCCCTAATGTGTTCTTAACAAGATTCGAACACGATATCCTAGTTTAAACAATGATAACACGGGATTTAAGGCTGCTGTCGATGACGGAAAGAGACGAGGGCCAGGGTAGCAGTCAACTTTTGCGGGCTTATAAAATTTTTAGGCTTTTCATTATATTTATAACGTATACAGTATACTATACTTATTAAAATATCCAATTTTTATATTTTGAACTTCACCACCAGTTGCCACATTACCAATTACATAAATATAATTAATGCATGCAATTTTGAGAAACTAAAGATTTGAATTAATTGTATAATCGAAGTAAATTACCATTTTGATATCATCCATTTTGATTATGTTGAATATCACTGACGCGTAATAGCGTCGAATTAATGTCAAAATAAAGTTTTACAGTTAGTGTGGAAAATTTCAACAACCTTCACAACGAACAGAAACTGTTTATGATTTAGTATTACGATCAGTGATCTGGTACGTTGACTTTGAGCGGGTCGGGATATCAATATCTGATATCGGTGACGTGGTATTCGTGAGGGTATTTCAAATTCAATACTGGCACTGCGCTCAATTAAGTGCGCTGTATGGGAATATTACAGCTCAGATGAGTTTGTTCAGAAGATTGATCTGTCCATGGCTGATGACAAGCTTAATATCGAGACGGTGCGGTACCTAAACTGGAATGCACAGCACATAGAGGTAATATATTATATAATAGCCTGGGGTCCCCAGGTAGTGGCATGCTAAATAGAATTAAAGATAACATTCCCACATCACTCCAGTGGTGTAACGTTGCCTCATTGCCTGTTGCCGACCCCCCCCCCCCCCCCTGATCGCCCCCGAAAAACGAGAAGGAAACTGAAAAGTTTAGCGTTAAATACTGCGATTCACAGGGTATAAGTCCTCCCTGAATATTTTGGACTTGAACGATTTATGCAAGAAAATACAATATGGCCTACCAGCAGGGTGTAGGAATGATTTTCTTCATGGGGGGGGGGGGGGGGGGGGGGGGGGGGGGGGGGGGGGGGGGGGGGGGGGGGGGGGGGGGGGGGGGGGGGGGGGCCAAATTCTAAATTTTTTTTGGCTGCTTCGCGCCAATAAAGCCTGAATTTCGAGGGTAAGGACAAAAGGAAATTGCAGCATGTGCAGTATCGCGATTTTTCACGTTTCCGCGACAAATCGCGATTTTTCAGATCCTGGCCTCACGACAAATCGCGATTTTTTCAGTTCTCCGCGTCAAATTGCGCATTTTCCTTTAAGGGGGGGGGGGGGGGGGGGGTTCACCCTGATTTTTTGTGAAACTTGGTTTCGAGATAGCCAATTGACCAACAAACTAGGACCGGTGACCGAACTTTTGAGAGGGGGTCCCGGACCCCAATGGTGCCCGCGGGTTTGGTCCAAATTAGGCCCAATTAAGCCAAATACCCTCAACATGCCCGAAACCCAGGTTTTAGGTGCTCTACTTGTAGCTAGTGGTCCTTTGAACTCGTACATGAAATTTCATCAAGATTAAACAAAAAATTACTGAGTTATGAGCCAAAAACCATATGCCCATATTTGGGCATACGCACCAAATTTGATCGATTTTGGCCTATAAATTGGTCAAATATCAATATTTTTGAATGAAACCAACTTTATATGGAAGGTAAGCCTATACTACACATTCTCTATTTTCGGCTCAGAATGATCAGGGTAGCATGAAACAGGAACAAAAGTAATTTCCAGAAAAATTTTGAGAGCTCCCGCTTCCGAGGTCGTATTACAAAGGGGAACCCTCGAGTCCAAAATCGTATATCGAACTTCGAAAACCGAAAAAAAATATTTTTGGCTCATAATGATCAGGGTAGCATATAAAATGAACAAAAGTAGTATCCAAGAAAACTTTGAAAATTTGTGACTTAGAAAATTGTTGACTTAAAAAATTATTGACTTTAAAATTTTCGGGGAAAATAAATTTTTTTCCCAAAAATTTTTAGAACCCTAAATTAATGGCCCTTTTTGGCCCCTTGCCCAGGTTTCATGGGGGGCGATGCCCCCCCCCCCCCCCCCCCCCCCCCCCCCCCCCCCCCCCCCCCCCCCCCCCCCCCCCCCCCCCCCGCTTCCTACACCCCTGCCTACCAGCATGTGTTCTTAACAAGGTTCTAACACGATATCCTAGTTTAAACAATGATTACACGGGATTTAAGGCTGTTGTCGATGACGGAAAGAGACCAGGGCCATGGTAATTGGTAGCAGTCAAAGTCAAACTTTGCGGGCTTTTAAAGTTTATACTTATAGACGTTTCATTATAACGTATACTTATTCCAATATCTAATCTTTATATTTTTAACTTCACTGCCAGTTGCCACATTACCAATTACATAAATATAATTAATGCATGCAATTTTGAGAAACTAAAGATTTGAATTAATTGTATAAATATAATCGAAGTAAATTACCATTTTGATATCATTCATTTTGTTTATGTTAAATAGCACTGCACGTAATTACGGAATTAATGTCAAAATAAAGTTTTACAGTTAGTGTGGAAAATTTCAACAACCTTCACAACGAACAGGAACTATTTATAAAAAAATATAATACTAATAATATTACTGGGCCGCGCTCAGCAGCTGTCATTCCGCCGAATCTTCATTCCATGTTAATGAACATGATAGCTTGAGGTCCCCAGGTAATAATAATACTAATAACTTCAAATTCAATTACAGTCCTTTTTAAAATATTCTAGATTTATCTTAAAATTAATATTATTAACACTATAAGAATTCCTAAATTCCACTGGTAGGGCATTCCAATAAGGTAAAACTCTCTCAGATAGAAAAGCTTTACGAAGATTCCTTAATTTAGAGCTTGTAATATTGCACTTTATCTTTGAAACAATATTCATACCCGATCTAATAATATTGAAAATATCTGAACCATATTCTACTAAACCACTGGATATTTTAAAGGTTTCTATAAGATCCCCACGGATTCTTCTTTCAGCTAATGTAGTTAAATTCAGAATTTCCAACCTGCTGCTGTATGGCAATGTGCCAATACCCTCGATTAACCGGGTGAACCAGCGTTGGACAGCTTCCAACTCAAGGATGAGTCACCAACTACCATGAGCAGCAGATGGATTCCACAACTGTACACAGCATTCAAGATGTGGTCTTATCAAAGATTTATAAATTGCTAACATCACAGTTTTATCTCTAATAATCAAATTCCTGACTATCCAACTAACTATCCAGCATTCAAGATGTGGTCTTATCAAAGATTTATAAATTGCTAACATCACAGTTTTATCTCTAATAATCAAATTCCTGACTATCCAACACATTCGCATAACGTTGCCTGTTGACGCCCCCTACCCTTTTGGCGCCCCTCCCTAAAATTGAACAAATTAGATGATTTTAGAGTTAAATACCGTAGTTAAGTTTTTCGAAATTGTCCCACATTCAAACGACGATTTGGCGCCCATAATCTGTACTTCTACCATTGTATTAATGACATCTTTAGCCTTTAAGGTCTTGAAATATAGAACCCCTATATCACTATACTACCTCTTTGAAACAGCTGACATACTTGGCAAAGAGACACTCATTCTTACACCTAAACCATCAGACAGCTACATAATACATATCCACTGAATATATAACCCCATCTCGTTCGATCTTGGAAGTTAAGCAACTGCAGGCCGGTTTAGTACTTGGATGGGTGACCGCCTGTAGAAAGAATATGGGTGGGGTTGGAATGATCAAAGCAATGTTAACAAAGGTTCATCTATAATATATTTTAAACCTGACGAAATCTCCCCGGCAACGAGGACATTAAAAAACACTGAAAATTTACCAAAAACAGACCCTTCGTTCTGACCAATTTCAGCTCGCAAATGGGGTTGAAAACCCGCGAGTTTTAACAAAGTTGTCGAAAAAAGGAAATGCGCCCGTTATAGCATTCTTAGAAATTTGATTTAGGCTATTGATTTTTTCCCGATCCTTGACTCAAAGTGCCGAAGTGTCTACTTTATTCTCGAACGATGAGCCCTCGGTCCCCACAAAAGATAATCTTTAGAACAGTTAAGACTAGTAGTACAATTTGTGAAAAGGAACTTATGGTCAGTCTATAATTATAAAACACATGAAAATCAGTGTACTCCTTAATTCCCTTAGTCTCTAGCTTTGTTATCAAAACACGTGATTCGATCACGTGATGTTATCTCATTGTAAACAGGGTTTATTTGTTTGATTACGTGTATTATGGTAAAGTATTAACACAAGTTAACTAATACTATTATGTATATGAGTACAGATTCGAAGTGGAACATCGAGTTCCGTTCTGGCGAGGTCTGGCAAGCTGGGAGGAACCTTCGAGATCGTCTAGAAGGGCTGATCTAAAAGCAACCTTTGCTCAGTATTTATAGCTAATCTAACTAGACTAACGAGCTAGTTAACGAATATATGACATTTAACTTTGCTCTGCGAATCGTTCGCCGCGATTTTGGAGATTTTCGCTGCAATTTTGCTTAGTTTGGCATGTCGCGGCGCCGCGATTTTTGCCCTAAATAATCGCGATTTTCTTTTGTCCCTATATATGTCCATGTCACGTTACGTGATCATATCAGTTCAAATCATAGGATGGTGTGGCAACAGGTGGTCCTGAATCCGGGTCTATCGCTAATTAACATATATACGTGAAATGGATGTTGGATAAGAGATTACTGATTCACCCTGCCATCACTCCGAAGAAAAAAATGGCATCAAGGAAACATTTTCTGGATGATATCTGGTTTGTGTGGAGAGGGACAGAGCGCCAGTTTGGGAGTTTCATAAACACACTTAATCAAGTAGGTAGCGAGGATAGTTTCACGTTAAAAGAAAATGTGGACTCAGAAGTGGAATTCCTTGATGTAAAGTTGACCTTAAAAGATGGTGAAATGGAAAAATCGGTATTTGTTAAACCCACTGATTTAAAACGATACCTAAACCGCAAATAAGACCACAGCACTTATGTGTTAAGTGTTTAAAGGCATTCCCTATGCTCCAACGTGGCAGAACAGGAAAAGAGCGTTGACTACATATGTGTTCTCCTTGGTCATTTCATGTTTAATTCCTGTGGCTGTATGTAGCCGGAGGCCAAATTTTTGGCTAGTGGCTACAAACCACCTGAACTTCAAATAAGCAAAGAAAAAGCTCTAGAATCGAATAGAGAAGCAATCCTCGCTAATTATCGGAATGGAGTCAGACCGAGAAATATTCAGAATATTTTCAAATTTGTAATAAACCATAGGCATAATAAAACATTTTAAATATATCATCGATAATTATGTTAACGTTTGTTGAACTCGGCGGTAAACAATTGAGTATTATATGTTACTATGTACTAAAAGCCCAGGGTCACAGGGAAGAAGCTAATAGTAAATACATTTTTGATAGTCAGTTTTTTTTGCATCAAAAATTATCCACCCTTACCGAAGATACAGCCGATTATTTTGTAAAACAATCTAAACACAACGTAATAAGTAGATAACCACAAAACTGATAAGAATGCCATACAATAATTTTTTACACGTAGCTCATCCTTCACGCCTTGTAAGGACGCAGGATTCCGTTGTAAACAGCAACTGCAGTAGCTGTCCCCAAAAACGGAAGAAGTCCAAAAGCCTGAGGAGTAGGGCAATTTTATGTGTTGTCATGGTAATCGATAGAAGTTTAAATATAGTGGATCGCTGGTAGTACCAGTGGTACTTATAGAATATGTCCGATGAGCAAAGTGCTGAAATACCGGACCTTAAATCTGGAAACGGAAACGAGAGCTTAAAAATTAAGGGGTGCCTATTTTTACCCATAGATGGTGAGTCCAGACTCCGCAGACTATATACCAGCAAATCACTACTGGATTAAGACCAGTCACGACATATGGTCCCTGATGGGAGGTAATGTTTGATCAAAAACACTAACAGTTTATATTTATCACCATAGTAAATAGTTTATGGTAAACTTTCATTAAATTGGTCGCCAGACCTCTTGCTAATGCTATGGCTTACGCAGATTTAAAGCCTGAAAATGTGAGTCTTGCATATCCAAACTTGATATCGTAAACTTGCATTTTTCAATCTATAATAGTCCAAGTTTGATGTTACTGAGACCGTATAACGCGTATTTACCATGAAGAGGAGAGCAACGTGAACACTCATTCCGATAGCGAATGGTTGAAGGAAACAATCAGCATGACCTCTTCTAGTGTCAATTGCTGCCAGAGTGACCAGTATCAACATCCAGCTACCAGCTACCATGAACACTATTACCTGCAATATGGAGTTCCGATGGTAACACTATATCACCTGCGCCAACTAAAAGATTGTCTGCTTCCCATCATTCAGTTAGTTTATTGTATTTGTATAAAAATAATCACGGTAATAAAGAGTAGGTACTCACTTTGATAAAAGGAAAATTTTCAAATGTTGGAGGTGCGAAATCTGGAAGACCCTCAAAATTACCAATTCCCCACAGTAAACCTAAAAAGAAAACCATTAAAGTCTTTTATTTGGAGTTTGCTTGAAGCCATGGTTACTCGACCTCAAGTGTTATGCCATATATTTTGAATGAATCGCCTCATTGACATTCAAGTATGCCCAAAGAGCAGAGTTTCATACCTGCAGCAGCGAAACCACCACAGAACTGCACGAAAATGTAACAAATCATTCTGATGAAGGAGATCTGAGTATCCAGGAAGAACATTAGTGAGATGGCGGGGTTCACATGACCTCCTGACACGTCCTCACATAGGTAGATCATCAAACATACAGCTGGGGGGGGGGGGTACCAGTTATTATTATAATATCATCATAATGCTTAACATTGAAGAAAATAAGTAGTCTATAGCGATGGAAGAAAGATTTTTAAACATTACTATTTTGACAGAATTAGAACTACCAGTACCAATTACCGAGCGTCTGTCCTAAGAATATTTATTACATCTACTTACTCATCCCAACTCCGAAGGATGTGGAAAAGTTAAGAGATCCGTGGTTCCGCTGTCATCTAATCTCGCTATGATCCTGGGGTTTATTCCACCTGAAGATCAATACTACATAATCTATAATACATAGTAATATAGTTATTATGATTTTTATTTATTCGAATTATGTTTACTATAGTTACTTAGTTATACTAGTACTACGGCCCTGAGCTGCATTTGAAACATGCCGCCTAAAAGTAGATGTAGAGAAACACTGAAGGAGACAATAATTCTAAAGTTTCAATTTACAATCCAGTGATGACATTGTATTATTTGTACCTGTAGCGAAAAGTACGAGCATGAAGGTTCCAAGAAATTCAGCAAAAAGTGCTCTGAGTCCCGCCTCATTTGTGAACTCCTTAAAACTACCAAGTTTCCATTGTCTTTTAGTAGCCTGCTGAAAGAGAAGGAAAATACTTACATATATCATAAAATACACTACTGATCAGTAACGAGTCTGTTGATTAACAAGTTTGATAAGTGGTTACCTCCGTATTTAAACCAGGTAGTGGTTCATATGAACATCACGTAACAATGAGACACACATTTCATAATGTTTCCAGGATTAATCAACAAAAACAGCTAGTTGTGCAGTTATAGTTAAACCATTATATTTATCAAGCTGCATCATAGATCTGAGCCGATCGAGCTGCGGATCAGTTTTAATGATAAAAAAGAAGACGCTAACCTTATTATATTTATTCGGCAGAGCACCATTACAAATGGTTTGACCAACATTTTCTTGAACTGACACAGTTAGTGGATTCTCTACGATCATTACAAAGTCATCACAGAAGCTGTTAAAGTTAATGCTGAACGACACTCAAATGTACTGCAATGCTAGTGTACTTACTACTGGTACTGCTAAAGAGACTGGGTCAATAGAAGGCAATTTAACTTTTATTGCAACTTTTTGCTACATTGTCGACAAATAACGAGCTTTTATCGTACCTATATCACAGTACTGGCAAGCACGACCGCCGCCCGTATACTCACTATACTATTCATCCCCTATACTATAATTATACCCCCTTTACTGTTTTTCTAGGCATTAAGACTCATCGTAAGTCGTTCAGCAGGCATATTTTAAGTTCAAAACATTCTAATTCAAATTTCAATGTCAAAGATGACAGGAATAAGAAATAATTATGTGGAGGTTTTTAAGAAATTTGCGCAAAATACGCGCCAGCACTGTTAGACTTATACGAAGTGCGGTAAAAAAATCACTATATTCAGTCGATTGCGTTTAGAGTTAGACATTGACCAAATCGACTGTAAAAAGAAGTATATGTATCTATTTGACCAAAACCCATAATTGGGTAAAGTGGACCGCTGCCAGTGTCTATCTTTCCCAAAGAAAAGGAAATGATATTAATTTGAATGACCGTCCGCATATGCAAAATGATGGTACTGCGACAATTGACCCCCGACAATTGAGAAATTATTCTCAAGTTCATGTTTTCTTGAAACGACAGATGAGTTTAGCGATTAGATGCGTACACATTCAGTTCTGTGCTTGGCTAGCCTATAAGGACTGACTAGTGAATACTCAATACGTGCTGTCAACACTTTTATTGCAATCTAAGTTTTTAGTTTTGTGGCATCATAATATGAATTCTATGACCAAATTAATGACGCAAAATAAGATTAGCATCTTAATATATATAAACAACAACAAACAATTTGTGACCTGCCTATTGGCCGGGCGCCGCCATAGACTCAACACATGGCGTGTGGGGTATTTACCCCGGGCACACACTTTAATCTCTCGACGGGCGGGTCACACCCAAATAGGAGACCTTAATGCGTAGGAAACTCTGAACATATCTTTCAGATATGAGTCAGAGTAGATCTCAAATCGACTTCATCATTTGTCGGAAGAAATGGAGGAACTCCGTCAAGAATTCCGAAGCATATGGTAGTTTCCACAGTATTGGCTCAGATCATAGAGTAGTTGTAGCAAGGGTTAAGCTTATAGTCTCCGGATGAGCAAAACGGAGAAGAGGGATCCGGTTCTGGACTGGTCTAAACTTAAAAATCTCAACGACTCCAAGTGTTGAGATTGCTAGGCGCTGAGGGAATGTAGCATAAAATACCACTCAGATGCTACAGACTACAGAGGACAACCGTATAACTGTTCAAGAAGGCAAACAGAAGTTAGGCGATGCCTATCATGCAGCCCAAGAGCAACTGCTGGAGGGGCAGGTCCGGGAACTGGAAGAGGCAAGTTGGCGGGGCAGGCATGCTAAAACAAGATTACGACCATGATCAACAAGATTACGGGTAAAGCTCGATCGTATACTGGCAAAATCAAGGGCAACTCACCAACGGAACGAGTTCAGAAATGGCAGGACAATTTTGCTACTCTTCTAGGCTCAGCACCAACAGTAACGAATGCGGAAAAGGATATTGATTGATGATCCAGTCCACCTACCTCTGAATATCGAAACAGAAGCGTTCACGTTGGATGAGTACAGGAAAGCAAAGTCCAGTATAAAGGAAGGGAAAGCATGGGGTGACAACAACATAGCCCCAAAAGTCTTAAAACGATGCGACCTTGATCAAATTGTCTTAGACTTCTGTAACAATGCTCTATTGAAAGGCGAGAAACGGGGGGGGGGGGGGGGGGGGGATCATACACTTAGTACCGTACGTGACGTTGGGGGGTGGGTCATATTTTCTTCCAAAACACAGTTAGTACATGGTACAAAAGCCGGCAAAAGGGGGTGGGTGTCTTAATTATTATCCGAAAAAACAGTTAGTACCGCGAAGGGGGTGGGTGGATCTTTTGACAAAATTCCAAAATTACACTTAGTCGACGTCACGTACAGAACTTAGTACCTGATCTGAAACCGACTGAAACCATAAATCGAGACAATTCTGCGCAGAAACCAGAACGGATTCAGAACAGGAAGGTCAACAGCCCAGCAGATATTGGTACTGACTACTGAGGCGTCAAATAGAGAGGGTCAAGAGTCGGAAACTGCCAGCTGTTCTGACATTTATAGACTTTAAGAAGGCTTTCGACAGTGTACATCGTGGGAAAATATTCAATATTCTAGAAGCTTACGGCATTCCAGTCAAAATCGTAGAGCTTATACGGCTCATGTACGAGAAGACAATGGCAAAAGTCCTAACTCCAGACTGAGAAACGGAATTGTTCGAGATACTAGCAGGTGTGTTACAGGGTGATACCTTAGCACCTTACCTTTTTGCAATAGTCATCAACTACTGTATGAGGCAAGCCATGATAGGTGATGATGCGGAATGACTTGGACTCACTCTCGAGTCTCGAACGTAGAAAAAGCAGAAGAGTGGGGTCCAAGATCATCACCGATGTGGACTTTGCAGATGATATGGACACGTTCATTGAAGTTTGAGGATATTGGTAAATATTAGTGACCCTACTAAATGGCACGATGATGTAAAATGTGTCACACTATGAAACTATATAAACCCTCTATGCCTAGGATAATCGTTTCATCCTCTAGATAAACTTTGTCGCATAACGATATCTTTATCAGACGATAAGATATCGCTTAAATGCGGCCGGCAGTGAGTTGTAAACTTTGTCACACTATAAAAACGTGACAGAGTTTATATGGACCCCTTGTTGCCGTGTTTGACCAAATTTTCCAATTTCAAATTTATAGGATAGTCGCATATGACTATTATCTACATATTTAGCACCATGGTAGCACCATGTAAACTCCGTCACACATTTAAGAAATTTATATGAGGGATGTTTATGACATCCTGACAAGAAATGCCGAATAGTCTAGCATTGTTATGTGGGCTGAATGTGTTTGGAATTGTTCACATATTTCATTGTTATAGGCAAATACAAATACAGAAGGCAGAAATAGGACAAATTTGTCACATACATTTGTATGATATCTCAACATGTGTGAAATTGAGTAAATATTAGTATACCAACTTAAACACCCTATATTAGTATTACGTACTATGGATTAATTAACAATATTTCAACCACACACCGGTCATATAAATTTGTATAAGGCAGTGATATGTTAACATTGGCAAAATTTCAACACCTGAACATGGTAAAAAAATATGATACCTTTATTTGCTATTTGTTGGCAAAATAACTAGTTTATCGACATAGGTATGGTGATAAAGTAAAATTATATCTTATTCGAGGTACGATTCTTCAAAATAGGGGGCAAGAAATGTAAATTTCTTCATATACGTCATTTTAAAATGTATATAGATTTTCTTTCATATCAATAGTCCTTATTATAGTCGGAATGGATTTATACAAGAAATGTAGAAACCCATGCCAATTTTTCGTCACATTGAAATTATACTGTTGGGGCAGAAAAAGTGAATTTTGTCACATTTCAGTAACTTAGTAAAATTAAACTCAGCATTGTTAAACTTGAGTTCTAATTTGCTGAAAAATAACCAACCAATAATTCCTGGAAGAACATTGAATTCTAACCGAGGTATGGTTCTTCAAAATAGGGTCAAGAAGTGTAAATTTCGTCACATACGCGTACGTCATTGTAAAATATAGATACAATTTCTTTCACGTGAACAGTCCTTATTACAGTCTGAAATGATTAATACAGAGATGCAGGAAATATAAAAACCCATACCCATTTTATAATGTGCGTAATATGTTAATCACTGACTATTTTATTCTATAATCATTGTTTCCAAATTTAACCTATTTACGATGTCATTTTGTGACGATGTTTACATCAACTGCCCTATACTTGAATCAACTGTACCCGTGTATCGTCCTTATATAAAGTTTTCCCGCAAGATTTAACCTATTTACGATGTCGTATCATTTTGTGACGATGTTTACATCGACTGCTCTATACTTGAATCGACTGTATCCGTGTATCGTCCTTATATAGAGTTTTCCCGCCTTCCAAACCAAAATCATATATAAATGATTTCGGAAATTCACCCAGAATTTCAAATTCCATATAATGTGACAGAATTTACATCATTTCCCAATAACCAAGTGCATGTATTTGCTAACTTTTCAAAACAACATATTTTAGGGCTATGATTGGCAGAAGAACCATCAAATAATGAGTTGAAAGGATTTTGAGGACACCTCACAGTAGAAAAGAGGTCTCTTATTCTGAGTGTGACAAAGTTTTCGAAATATTGCCTTAAAGCCGTTCGATCACTGCCCTTAAGGCCTACGTTGTATCATAATTGTTAGATTGACCTAATCTACTATATTTTAGACCAAAAAATGCTAATTGGGCAGCTATGGTAAACAATGTCACAATAATGTGACATTTTTTACATTATAGTGCCTAAAAGCAATATATTTTATTTCTGAGCAGTGCATATGGGAGTATGGGTCACGTGGCTAATGTTCGGAACTTATGAACACGTTAGATTAACTAGCGGGAACCCGTCTACCCTAAAGTGGTGTCAAGACTCAAGAGAATAAAATAATTATTACCTATTTAATTCGCGTTTTTGACACCACTTGGGAGTCCAAATTTTGGGCACTAAAATTCTTATTCCTTGGCCAATTTTCAATTTTTTCATGCTGATTTGAAGGCCATTAAAGCATTTGACCCAGTCAAAAAAGTTTCAGTTATATATCTTTTACGGTTTTTGCGGAAAGTCGCGTTAAAGTTGATGCCCTGGTGTCAGTAAAATGGCACGGATCCATATATCCATATATATATATATCGTCTCGCTTTATATAATACTAGCAGGAACCCGTATAATATATAACCCTAAACGGTGTCAAGACTCAAGAGACTAAAATAATTATTACCTATTTAATTCGCGTTTTTGACACCACTTGGGGGTCCAAATTTTGGGCTCTAAAATCACTATTCCTTGGCCATTTTTTTATTTTTTCATGCTGATTTGGATGCCATTAAAGCATTTGACCAAGTTAAAAAAGTTTCAGATGTATATCTTTTACAGTTTTTGCGGAAAGTCGCGTTAAAGTTGATGCCGTGGTGTCAGTAAAATGGCACGGAAAACTATCGTCTCGCTTTATATATTATAGTAACATAGTAAGATAGATGCTAAAATTAAGCCACTATCGTCGAAAACGCTATTTTAGGAATTTACCAATATCCTCAAACTTCAATGAACGTGTCCATATAGCACTTATATCTGAGGACATGGACATGGCTAACGAGTTCCTGCTCCGAGTAGAATCGGCGGCAGCGAGCGTGGGGCTTCACATAAACGAAGGCAAGACCAATTAGGTTATGACATTGAATATGGAGGATCGATCTAGCGACCTCCAAAGTCGATCTGGGAAAGCCATAGAAAATGTGGATGATTTCATCTACTTAGGCTCCTGGATTGACAGCACAGATAGGGAGATAAGGGTTAAAAAGGGAAAAGCATCGGGTGCCCTACATAGACTGAAGGATATCTGGAAATCCAAACTCTCAAAGAGCCTAAAGATTAGATTGTTCATAGCGGCTTGTGAGTCAGTACTGCTCTACGGATCAGAAACCTGGACACTGACAAAGGCTCAAGAAAAAGTTTCCGCAAAAACCGTACAAGATGTACAACTGAACAGTAACACTTTTTGACTGGGTCAAATGCTTTAATGGCCTCCAAATCAGAGGGAAAAAAATCAAAATTGGCCAAGAAATAGGAATTTTAGAGCCCAAAATTTGGACCCCAAAGTGGTGTCAAAAACGCGAATATTCAGTATTCAGTATTCAGTATTCAGTATTCAGTATTCAGTATTCAGTATTCAGTATTCAGTATTCAGTATTCAGTATTCAGTATTCAGTATTCAGTATTCAGTATTCAGTATTCAGTATTCAGTATTCAGTATTCAGTATTCAGTATTCAGTATTCAGTATTCAGTATTCAGTATTCAGTATTCAGTATTCAGTATTCAGTATTCAGTATTCAGTATTCAGTATTCAGTATTCAGTATTCAGTATTCAGTATTCAGTATTCAGTATTCAGTATTCAGTATTCAGTATTCAGTATTCAGTATTCAGTATTCAGTATTCAGTATTCAACTGTATTGACTTGTTAATATAAATCAAACGTACTATAATATAAGGCTATGATACAAACTACAGAGTTGACATGTGATCAACTCTACCGTAGAGTCTACCCTGTATCTAGCCCTAAGCCCATTTCTAGGTCAGTTAAATTCTACTGATGGATCACATCACTAATTATACGTCACTAATTGGTGACATGATCTGATCTCCGTGGGACCCCTAATAATGAGGGGGCCTGGCCGTCGTGCAGCCAATTAAATAGGTAATAATTATTTTAGTCTCTTGAGTCTTGACACTATTTTAGGGTTGGACAGGTTTCTGCTAGTAATACTAGTGTAACCCGTGCAGCTACGGCCGGGAGTTCATTATCGCAGTAGAAATGCTAAAGTATAAACTATAAACCCGCCTATTATATTTTAAAACACGCATAACATTGTCTTATGAAAGTATGAACTCTCTATATGAACTCTACTCTACAGTCCAAACAGACCGCAATATTGAGTGCAATCCCCCCTAATAAGCTTATAGTATTATTTTGTGGCTAACCTAATTATGATTCATGTACCAACGCTACATAATATGCAGTAATGGGAGAGAGAGCGAGGAGGGAGAAAAAGAGAGCCATTTTTTGTCACATTTGTGGTACAAAATGTGACAATTAAACCACTTACCACCGACCAATTAAACCACTTACCACCGACCAATTTGAAAAACCTTATTCATTTGGCTTCGTCAGAGTTTTGTCGAAACTATACCGAAAAAACCAGTCCCGTAACTCTTACCGTTTTCTATAAGGCCGCTCGGAATTACACGTGCACAGACAGACACACATACAGACACACATACAGACACAAATTCTGAGATTATTGTGTAACTTTAAGATGTGATAGGTCCCTTACCTCTTTATCCGATTCGATTACTATTTGGTATTCCCCGTTCATAGCACTGCAGCACCTTTCACTTTCTGCTTGAACTTTGAAAAAAAGACCTAAATATAGGTATTATAATTATTTTAGGTATAGGGCGAGTTGCCAAATTGTTAATTTCTCAAACCTTTTTATACCCGACCGAAAGTAATCGAATTGAGTGAAAATGTTAGTTCCTGAGTTTCATCGTGCCCTTCAAAATACATGGATCTTTTATTATTTATGTGATGTGTGTACTTTTCGAAAGGTTGTTGAAAGATCATTTTTTCAAGCTTCGGTTTGAAGAACAATTGACCGATACAAGTTATAGATTCTTTGAGTGCTCCAAGCACAGTGTAATAATATCATAGCTACCGTACCAAATTTTCAAAATAATATATGAAAAACGTATTTGCAGAACACAATTCAATAAAAGAATACGATAGCTGGAAAATATTTGGCAGGTGAAAATCATGATCAGCGAAAAATTAGACGGCGAAGTTGTTGATCGGTAGAAAATAATTCAACCGGTTGAAACTATAAAATTATGGGTGTAACGAATGCCCATAGACGAAAGGGGGTTGGTTATTATCTAAAGCTTTTTAAAAATAATTATTCAAACAATATACACCCGTTCTCTGCATGGCATGGTTAGCACTGATTGAATTTTCGTTAACGGGTGATACTCGTAAGATATTTGTAATTTGTTCCAACTCGGCGCGCGTCTTGGTAGGTTATAAACCTACAAACTTTTTGAAACCCTGACCCTCTTCACTGACCCCAACCCTAACCACTAACCCAATCCCTAACAAAAACACATGTGAAACCCTACTAACCCTACTAACCCTAACGAGAAATTGGACCAACTTCCTTATATGGTTATAACTTATATCACGTGATCGAGACAATGTTTCGCCGATATCTCGTCAGGGGAGCATTTTAACCCTATGCCATGGGGGTGATTCGGAATCAGCGTCCGAAAATACATCGATTCAAGTTGGTTTTAACTGTCGGGGGCTCTTTTATAAAAAGCTCAAATATTGACTGTAGAGTGATTTGGATTTGGCACGCTCGAGTTAGACATCTTAACAATATATGCTTATAATAAATACAGTAAATGTAATAGAACTGTAGAAAATTTTAAAACCAGGGTAGAACCATGTTTGTAATATAAAAAGCGGTTCATTAAAAATAAAAATTCCGCCATTTGGAAAATACAATATATTATATGTATAACCAAGGTTATAGAACTCTAGGTGATTACATCTCTGGGGCTCCAGCTTGTCCTTCAAATATCTGGTAACCTCGTTCCATACCAAGGGCAAGTTGTTCAGAGATCTGGGCTCGTCTGAAGTACTGCGTAGGAGTTGGTCAGGTGGTTCCAAGTCGCTGCATCATCGTCAATCTCTCTGATCGAGTCGTCAGTATCACTGTTTTTCCTTTCTCGATATCATCGTCCACACTGATTATTGTACTCTTTCTTTATCAGAAACCCACCTCTCTCTTAGACTTGTAGGTAAAGAGTCGCTCTGATAAACCACAATGCGACGGCTACTCGGACTCCAGTAGATACGGATAACCAAATACCAGTAGTATGTTTTACGCTAAAATCAAATGTAGAATATTCTAGAAATCCAATACACTGCTGACATAAAATATTGTTAAAATACTGCACCTAACAGTAACGCTATATTATACCTTATAAGATCAAAGAATATTGAAAATAACATTTTTCTTAGCTATGATCCCGGTCCCAATCCCGGTCCCGGTCTTATTCCCGGTCCCGGCTAACGGCTTAATCCCGGTCCCGGCACTTTTTTCCAGTCCCGGTCCCGGCCAAAAAAGCGGTCCCGGTCGATCCTTGAGTGTAACCCAGGCAGCTACGGCCGGGAGTTCACTATCGATGTTGAAACAAAAAAGTACAAACTCGTTTAATCGTAAACAAGCATCAAGCAATCAAGGTACGTTTGTAAAAAGATCAAAGAATATTGAAAGTAAATTTGCTCAGCTATGCGATCCCGGTCCCAATCCCGGTCCCGGTCGTATAATATATATTATTATATATATTATATTATATATGGTAGAAAGAAAACTCCATTTACGGACGGGAGGAGAGTTAGGACTCCTCGATAACTACATTAAATACATTCCTTCCGTAACGTCCTGAATAAATATAATTACGAAAACAAAATTTACTAAACATTTAAAAACATTACTGAACACCAAAATTATAATACTAATGCAAAGATACAACAAAAGAACAAATAATAATAACTCAAAACAAATAACAACATAATGTAACATAATAGCTCTAGCATATAACATGAACAAAAGTAGTTTCCAAGAAAACTTTGAAAATTTTTGACTTAGAAAATTTATAATTTATAATTGTTGACTTAAAAAATTATTGACTTTAAAATTTTCGGGGAAAATAATTTTTTTCCAAAAATTTAGTTTAAACAATGATTACACGGGATTTAAGGCTGTTGTCGATGACGGAAAGAGACCAGGGCCATGGTCATTGGTAGCAGTCAAACTTTGCGGGCTTTTAAAGTTTATACTTATAGACGTTTCATTATAACGTATACTTATTCCAATATCTAATCTTTATATTTTTAACTTCACTGCCAGTTGCCACATTATCAATTACATAAATATAATTAATGCATGCAATTTTGAGAAACTAAAGATTTGAATTAATTGTATAATAATAAATATAATCGAAGTAAATTACCATTTTGATATCATCCATTTTGATTATGTTGAATAGCACTGCACGTAATAGCGGAATTAATGTCAAAATAAAGTTTTACAGTTAGTGTGGAAAATTTCAACAACCTTCACAACGAACAGGAACTATTTATAAAAAAATTTAATACTAATAATATTACTGGGCCGCGCTCTGCCTGTCATTCCGCCGAATCTTTATTCTATGTTAATGAACATGATAGCTTGAGGTCCCCAGGTAATAATAATACTAATAACTTCAAATTCAATTAATACAGTCCTTTTTAAAATATTCTAGATTTATCTTAAAATTATTAACACTATAAGAATTCTTAACATCCATTGGTAGGGCATTCCAATAAGATATAACTCTCTCAGATAGAAAAGCTTTACGAAGATTCCTTAATTTAGAGCTTGTAATATTGCACTTTATCTTTGAAACAATATTCATACCCGATCTAATAATATTGAAAATATCTGAACCATATTCTACTAAACCACTGGATATTTTAAAGGTTTCTATAAGATCCCCACGGATTCTTCTTTCAGCTAATGTAGTTAAATTCAGAATTTCCAACCTGCTGCTGTATGGCAATGTGCCAATACCCTCGATTAACCGGGTGAACCAGCGTTGGACAGCTTCCAACTCAAGGATGAGTCACCAACTACCATGAGCAGCAGATGGATTCCACAACTGTACACAGCATTCAAGATGTGGTCTTATCAAAGATTTATAAATTGCTAACATCACAGTTTTATCTCTAATAATCAAATTCCTGACTATCCAACTAACTATCCAGCATTCAAGATGTGGTCTTATCAAAGATTTATAAATTGCTAACATCACAGTTTTATCTCTAATAATCAAATTCCTGACTATCCAACACGTTAGCATAACGTTGCCTGTTGACGCCCCCTACTATTTTGGCGCCCCTCCCTAAAATTGAACAAAGTAGATGATTTTAGAGTTAAGATGATACCGTAGTTAAGTTTTTCGAAATTGTCCCACATTCAAACGCCGATTTGGCGCCCATAATCTGTACTTCTACCATTGTATTAATGACATCTTTAGCCTTTAAGGTCTTGAAATATAGAACCCCTATATCACTATACTCCCTCTTTGAAACAGCTGACATACTTGGCAAAGAGACACTCATTCTTACACGGACACCTAAACCATCAGACAGCTACATAATACATATCCACTGAATATATAACCCCATCTCGTTCGATCTTGGAAGTTAAGCAACTGCAGGCCGGTTTAGTACTTGGATGGGTGACCGCCTGTAGAAAGAATATGGGTGGGGTTGGAATGATCAAAGCAATGTTAACAAAGGTTCATCTATAATATATTTTAAACCTGACGAAATCTCCCCGGCAACGAGGACATTAAAAAACACTGAAAATTTACCAAAAACAGACCCTTCGTTCTGACCAATTTCAGCTCGCAAATGGGGTTGAAAACCCGCGAGTTTTAACAAAGTTGTCGAAAAAAGGAAATGCGCCCGTTATAGCATTCTTAGAAATTTGATTTAGGCTATTGATTTTTTCCCGATCCTTGACTCAAAGTGCCGAAGTGTCTACTTTATTCTCGAACGATGAGCCCTCGGTCCCCACAAAAGATAATCTTTAGAACAGTTAAGACTAGTAGTACAATTTGTGAAAAGGAACTTATGGTCAGTCTATAATTATAAAACACATGAAAATCAGTGTACTCCTTAATTCCCTTAGTCTCTAGCTTTGTTATCAAAACACGTGATTCGATCACGTGATGTTATCTCATTGTAAACAGGGTTTATTTGTTTGATTACGTGTATTATGGTAAAGTATTAACACAAGTTAACTAATACTATTATGTATATGAGTACAGATTCGAAGTGGAACATCGAGTTCCGTTCTGGCGAGGTCTGGCAAGCTGGGAGGAACCTTCGAGATCGTCTAGAAGGGCTGATCTAAAAGCAACCTTTGCTCAGTATTTATAGCTAATCTAACTAGACTAACGAGCTAGTTAACGAATATATGACATTTAACTTTGCTCTGCGAATCGTTCGCCGCGATTTTGGAGATTTTCGCTGCAATTTTGCTTAGTTTGGCATGTCGCGGCGCCGCGATTTTTGCCCTAAATAATCGCGATTTTCTTTTGTCCCTATATATGTCCATGTCACGTTACGTGATCATATCAGTTCAAATCATAGGATGGTGTGGCAACAGGTGGTCCTGAATCCGGGTCTATCGCTAATTAACATATATACGTGAAATGGATGTTGGATAAGAGATTACTGATTCACCCTGCCATCACTCCGAAGAAAAAAATGGCATCAAGGAAACATTTTCTGGATGATATCTGGTTTGTGTGGAGAGGGACAGAGCGCCAGTTTGGGAGTTTCATAAACACACTTAATCAAGTAGGTAGCGAGGATAGTTTCACGTTAAAAGAAAATGTGGACTCAGAAGTGGAATTCCTTGATGTAAAGTTGACCTTAAAAGATGGTGAAATGGAAAAATCGGTATTTGTTAAACCCACTGATTTAAAACGATACCTAAACCGCAAATAAGACCACAGCACTTATGTGTTAAGTGTTTAAAGGCATTCCCTATGCTCCAACGTGGCAGAACAGGAAAAGAGCGTTGACTACATATGTGTTCTCCTTGGTCATTTCATGTTTAATTCCTGTGGCTGTATGTAGCCGGAGGCCAAATTTTTGGCTAGTGGCTACAAACCACCTGAACTTCAAATAAGCAAAGAAAAAGCTCTAGAATCGAATAGAGAAGCAATCCTCGCTAATTATCGGAATGGAGTCAGACCGAGAAATATTCAGAATATTTTCAAATTTGTAATAAACCATAGGCATAATAAAACATTTTAAATATATCATCGATAATTATGTTAACGTTTGTTGAACTCGGCGGTAAACAATTGAGTATTATATGTTACTATGTACTAAAAGCCCAGGGTCACAGGGAAGAAGCTAATAGTAAATACATTTTTGATAGTCAGTTTTTTTTGCATCAAAAATTATCCACCCTTACCGAAGATACAGCCGATTATTTTGTAAAACAATCTAAACACAACGTAATAAGTAGATAACCACAAAACTGATAAGAATGCCATACAATAATTTTTTACACGTAGCTCATCCTTCACGCCTTGTAAGGACGCAGGATTCCGTTGTAAACAGCAACTGCAGTAGCTGTCCCCAAAAACGGAAGAAGTCCAAAAGCCTGAGGAGTAGGGCAATTTTATGTGTTGTCATGGTAATCGATAGAAGTTTAAATATAGTGGATCGCTGGTAGTACCAGTGGTACTTATAGAATATGTCCGATGAGCAAAGTGCTGAAATACCGGACCTTAAATCTGGAAACGGAAACGAGAGCTTAAAAATTAAGGGGTGCCTATTTTTACCCATAGATGGTGAGTCCAGACTCCGCAGACTATATACCAGCAAATCACTACTGGATTAAGACCAGTCACGACATATGGTCCCTGATGGGAGGTAATGTTTGATCAAAAACACTAACAGTTTATATTTATCACCATAGTAAATAGTTTATGGTAAACTTTCATTAAATTGGTCGCCAGACCTCTTGCTAATGCTATGGCTTACGCAGATTTAAAGCCTGAAAATGTGAGTCTTGCATATCCAAACTTGATATTGTAAACTTGCATTTTTCAATCTATAATAGTCCAAGTTTGATGTTACTGAGACCGTATAACGCGTATTTACCATGAAGAGGAGAGCAACGTGAACACTCATTCCGATAGCGAATGGTTGAAGGAAACAATCAGCATGACCTCTTCTAGTGTCAATTGCTGCCAGAGTGACCAGTATCAACATCCAGCTACCAGCTACCATGAACACTATTACCTGCAATATGGAGTTCCGATGGTAACACTATATCACCTGCGCCAACTAAAAGATTGTCTGCTTCCCATCATTCAGTTAGTTTATTGTATTTGTATAAAAATAATCACGGTAATAAAGAGTAGGTACTCACTTTGATAAAAGGAAAATTTTCAAATGTTGGAGGTGCGAAATCTGGAAGACCCTCAAAATTACCAATTCCCCACAGTAAACCTAAAAAGAAAACCATTAAAGTCTTTTATTTGGAGTTTGCTTGAAGCCATGGTTACTCGACCTCAAGTGTTATGCCATATATTTTGAATGAATCGCCTCATTGACATTCAAGTATGCCCAAAGAGCAGAGTTTCATACCTGCAGCAGCGAAACCACCACAGAACTGCACGAAAATGTAACAAATCATTCTGATGAAGGAGATCTGAGTATCCAGGAAGAACATTAGTGAGATGGCGGGGTTCACATGACCTCCTGACACATCCGCACATAGGTAGATCATCAAACATACAGCTGGGGGGGGGGGTACCAGTTATCATCATAGTATCATCATAATGCTTAATATTGACGAAAATAAGTAGTCTATAGCGATGGAAGAAAGATTTTTAAACATTACTATTTTGACAGAATTAGAACTACCAGTACCAATTACCGAGCGTCTGTCCTAAGAATATTTATTACATCTACTTACTCATCCCAACTCCGAAGGATGTGGAAAAGTTAAAGAGATCCGTGGTTCCGCTGTCATCTAATCTCGCTATGATCCTGGGGTTTATTCCACCTGAAGATCAATACTACATAATCTATAATACATAGTAATATAGTTATTATGATTTTTATTTATTCGAATTATGTTTACTATAGTTACTTAGTTATACTACGGCCCTGAGCTGCATTTGAAACATGCCGCCTAAAAGTAGATGTAGAGAAACACTGAAGGAGACAATAATTCTAAAGTTTCAATTTACAATCCAGTGATGACATTGTATTATTTGTACCTGTAGCGAAAAGTACGAGCATGAAGGTTCCAAGAAATTCAGCAAAAAGTGCTCTGAGTCCCGCCTCATTTGTGAACTCCTTAAAACTACCAAGTTTCCATTGTCTTTTAGTAGCCTGCTGAAAGAGAAGGAAAATACTTACATATATCATAAAATACACTACTGATCAGTAACGAGTCTGTTGATTAACAAGTTTGATAAGTGGTTACCTCCGTATTTAAACCAGGTAGTGGTTCATATGAACATCACGTAACAATGAGACACACATTTCATAATGTTTCCAGGATTAATCAACAAAAACAGCTAGTTGTGCAGTTATAGTTAAACCATTATATTTATCAAGCTGCATCATAGATCTGAGCCGATCGAGCTGCGGATCAGTTTTAATGATAAAAAAGAAGACGCTAACCTTATTATATTTATTCGGCAGAGCACCATTACAAATGGTTTGACCAACATTTTCTTGAACTGACACAGTTAGTGGATTCTCTACGATCATTACAAAGTCATCACAGAAGCTGTTAAAGTTAATGCTGAACGACACTCAAATGTACTGCAATACTAGTGTACTTACTACTGGTACTGCTAAAGGAGATGAGGCAATTACTTTATGTTCTGTGGCAAAAATGACTGTTTACGGCCATACATATTTATGCGGTTACTATTACTACATCACTTTTCATCCCTACATTTTCCAGCATAAGCGACTCCGGTAACTCAGAGAAGATCTAAGTCAAAATCTTTAATTTCAACTTTCGATTGTCAGATTAATGTAAATGAATCTTTATATTTAAAAATTATCAAATTTCACTGCATTATGAATGATAGAAATTATGTAGTTAAGAGAATTGCCGAATATGTGCAAATGAAGTATTACATTTGCCAATATAGGAAATTGACTGGGTTATTTAATTAAAATATTTATGTAAATCAATATGTTGACCAAACCCATAATTTAAAGTGGCCGCTGGTGTTCTTGAAAAAGAAATGATTGATTTAAGCCCTGCATTGAAAAATGCTCCCACACTATTCAGTTTTTCTGTGCGTTGTGCTAAAACGCCTTACTATAAGGACTGACTAGTGAATACTCAATACGTGCTGTCAACACTTTTATTGCAATCTAAGTTTTTAGTTTTGTGGCATCATAATATGAATTCTATGACCAAATTAATGACGCAAAATAAGATTAGCATCTTAATATATATAAACAACAACAAACAATTTGTGACCTGCCTATTGGCCGGGCGCCGCCATAGACTCAACACATAGTGTGTGGGGTATTTACCCCGGGCACAGACCTTAATCTCTCGACCGGCGGGTCACACCCAAATCTCCTGCTCCAACTCTTTCGAAGGCTGGCACTCTACTACTATGTGGCCAGAAGGAAATTCTTATAGGAACTCTTAATGTACCAACAATAAGAGAACGATCAGATACCAGCCCACAACTAACTATTCGTTGTAGGAGACCTCAATGCGTAGGAAACTCTGAACATATCTTTCAGATATGAGTCAGAGTAGATCTCAAATCGACTTCATCATTTGTCGGAAGAAATGGAGGAACTCCGTCAAGAATTCCGAAGCATATGGTAGTTTCCACAGTATTGGCTCAGATCATAGAGTAGTTGTAGCAAGGGTTAAGCTTATAGTCTCCGGATGAGCAAAACGGAGAAGAGGGATCCGGTTCTGGACTGGTCTAAACTTAAAAATCTCAACGACTCCAAGTGTTGAGATTGCTAGGCGCTGAGGGAATGTAGCATAAAATACCACTCAGATGCTACAGACTACAGAGGACAACCGTATAACTGTTCAAGAAGGCAAACAGAAGTTAGGCGATGCCTATCATGCAGCCCAAGAGCAACTGCTGGAGGGGCAGGTCCGGGAACTGGAAGAGGCAAGTTGGCGGGGCAGGCATGCTAAAACAAGATTACGACCATGATCAACAAGATTACGGGTAAAGCTCGATCGTATACTGGCAAAATCAAGGGCAACTCACCAACGGAACGAGTTCAGAAATGGCAGGACAATTTTGCTACTCTTCTAGGCTCAGCACCAACAGTAACGAATGCGGAAAAGGATATTGATTGATGATCCAGTCCACCTACCTCTGAATATCGAAACAGAAGCGTTCACGTTGGATGAGTACAGGAAAGCAAAGTCCAGTATAAAGGAAGGGAAAGCATGGGGTGACAACAACATAGCCCCAAAAGTCTTAAAACGATGCGACCTTGATCAAATTGTCTTAGACTTCTGTAACAATGCTCTATTGAAAGGCGAGAAACGGGGGGGGGGGGGGGGGGGGGGATCATACACTTAGTACCGTACGTGACGTTGGGGGGTGGGTCATATTTTCTTCCAAAACACAGTTAGTACATGGTACAAAAGCCGGCAAAAGGGGGTGGGTGTCTTAATTATTATCCGAAAAAACAGTTAGTACCGCGAAGGGGGTGGGTGGATCTTTTGACAAAATTCCAAAATTACACTTAGTCGACGTCACGTACAGAACTTAGTACCTGATCTGAAACCGACTGAAACCATAAATCGAGACAATTCTGCGCAGAAACCAGAACGGATTCAGAACAGGAAGGTCAACAGCCCAGCAGATATTGGTACTGACTACTGAGGCGTCAAATAGAGAGGGTCAAGAGTCGGAAACTGCCAGCTGTTCTGACATTTATAGACTTTAAGAAGGCTTTCGACAGTGTACATCGTGGGAAAATATTCAATATTCTAGAAGCTTACGGCATTCCAGTCAAAATCGTAGAGCTTATACGGCTCATGTACGAGAAGACAATGGCAAAAGTCCTAACTCCAGACTGAGAAACGGAATTGTTCGAGATACTAGCAGGTGTGTTACAGGGTGATACCTTAGCACCTTACCTTTTTGCAATAGTCATCAACTACTGTATGAGGCAAGCCATGATAGGTGATGATGCGGAATGACTTGGACTCACTCTCGAGTCTCGAACGTAGAAAAAGCAGAAGAGTGGGGTCCAAGATCATCACCGATGTGGACTTTGCAGATGATATGGACACGTTCATTGAAGTTTGAGGATATTGGTAAATATTAGTGACCCTACTAAATGGCACGATGATGTAAAATGTGTCACACTATGAAACTATATAAACCCTCTATGCCTAGGATAATCGTTTCATCCTCTAGATAAACTTTGTCGCATAACGATATCTTTATCAGACGATAAGATATCGCTTAAATGCGGCCGGCAGTGAGTTGTAAACTTTGTCACACTATAAAAACGTGACAGAGTTTATATGGACCCCTTGTTGCCGTGTTTGACCAAATTTTCCAATTTCAAATTTATAGGATAGTCGCATATGACTATTATCTACATATTTAGCACCATGGTAGCACCATGTAAACTCCGTCACACATTTAAGAAATTTATATGAGGGATGTTTATGACATCCTGACAAGAAATGCCGAATAGTCTAGCATTGTTATGTGGGCTGAATGTGTTTGGAATTGTTCACATATTTCATTGTTATAGGCAAATACAAATACAGAAGGCAGAAATAGGACAAATTTGTCACATACATTTGTATGATATCTCAACATGTGTGAAATTGAGTAAATATTAGTATACCAACTTAAACACCCTATATTAGTATTACGTACTATGGATTAATTAACAATATTTCAACCACACACCGGTCATATAAATTTGTATAAGGCAGTGATATGTTAACATTGGCAAAATTTCAACACCTGAACATGGTAAAAAAATATGATACCTTTATTTGCTATTTGTTGGCAAAATAACTAGTTTATCGACATAGGTATGGTGATAAAGTAAAATTATATCTTATTCGAGGTACGATTCTTCAAAATAGGGGGCAAGAAATGTAAATTTCTTCATATACGTCATTTTAAAATGTATATAGATTTTCTTTCATATCAATAGTCCTTATTATAGTCGGAATGGATTTATACAAGAAATGTAGAAACCCATGCCAATTTTTCGTCACATTGAAATTATACTGTTGGGGCAGAAAAAGTGAATTTTGTCACATTTCAGTAACTTAGTAAAATTAAACTCAGCATTGTTAAACTTGAGTTCTAATTTGCTGAAAAATAACCAACCAATAATTCCTGGAAGAACATTGAATTCTAACCGAGGTATGGTTCTTCAAAATAGGGTCAAGAAGTGTAAATTTCGTCACATACGCGTACGTCATTGTAAAATATAGATACAATTTCTTTCACGTGAACAGTCCTTATTACAGTCTGAAATGATTAATACAGAGATGCAGGAAATATAAAAACCCATACCCATTTTATAATGTGCGTAATATGTTAATCACTGACTATTTTATTCTATAATCATTGTTTCCAAATTTAACCTATTTACGATGTCATTTTGTGACGATGTTTACATCAACTGCCCTATACTTGAATCAACTGTACCCGTGTATCGTCCTTATATAAAGTTTTCCCGCAAGATTTAACCTATTTACGATGTCGTATCATTTTGTGACGATGTTTACATCGACTGCTCTATACTTGAATCGACTGTATCCGTGTATCGTCCTTATATAGAGTTTTCCCGCCTTCCAAACCAAAATCATATATAAATGATTTCGGAAATTCACCCAGAATTTCAAATTCCATATAATGTGACAGAATTTACATCATTTCCCAATAACCAAGTGCATGTATTTGCTAACTTTTCAAACAACATATTTTAGGGCTATGATTGGCAGAAGAACCATCAAATAATGAGTTGAAAGGATTTTGAGGACACCTCACAGTAGAAAAGAGGTCTCTTATTCTGAGTGTGACAAAGTTTCGAAATATTGCCTTAAAGCCGTTCGATCACTGCCCTTAAGGCCTACGTTGTATCATAATTGTTAGATTGACCTAATCTACTATATTTTAGACCAAAAAATGCTAATTGGGCAGCTATGGTAAACAATGTCACAATAATGTGACATTTTTTACATTATAGTGCCTAAAAGCAATATATTTTATTTCTGAGCAGTGCATATGGGAGTATGGGTCACGTGGCTAATGTTCGGAACTTATGAACACGTTAGATTAACTAGCGGGAACCCGTCTACCCTAAAGTGGTGTCAAGACTCAAGAGAATAAAATAATTATTACCTATTTAATTCGCGTTTTTGACACCACTTGGGAGTCCAAATTTTGGGCACTAAAATTCTTATTCCTTGGCCAATTTTCAATTTTTTCATGCTGATTTGAAGGCCATTAAAGCATTTGACCCAGTCAAAAAAGTTTCAGTTATATATCTTTTACGGTTTTTGCGGAAAGTCGCGTTAAAGTTGATGCCCTGGTGTCAGTAAAATGGCACGGATCCATATATCCATATATATATATATCGTCTCGCTTTATATAATACTAGCAGGAACCCGTATAATATATAACCCTAAACGGTGTCAAGACTCAAGAGACTAAAATAATTATTACCTATTTAATTCGCGTTTTTGACACCACTTGGGGGTCCAAATTTTGGGCTCTAAAATCACTATTCCTTGGCCATTTTTTTATTTTTTCATGCTGATTTGGATGCCATTAAAGCATTTGACCAAGTTAAAAAAGTTTCAGATGTATATCTTTTACAGTTTTTGCGGAAAGTCGCGTTAAAGTTGATGCCGTGGTGTCAGTAAAATGGCACGGAAAACTATCGTCTCGCTTTATATATTATAGTAACATAGTAAGATAGATGCTAAAATTAAGCCACTATCGTCGAAAACGCTATTTTAGGAATTTACCAATATCCTCAAACTTCAATGAACGTGTCCATATAGCACTTATATCTGAGGACATGGACATGGCTAACGAGTTCCTGCTCCGAGTAGAATCGGCGGCAGCGAGCGTGGGGCTTCACATAAACGAAGGCAAGACCAATTAGGTTATGACATTGAATATGGAGGATCGATCTAGCGACCTCCAAAGTCGATCTGGGAAAGCCATAGAAAATGTGGATGATTTCATCTACTTAGGCTCCTGGATTGACAGCACAGATAGGGAGATAAGGGTTAAAAAGGGAAAAGCATCGGGTGCCCTACATAGACTGAAGGATATCTGGAAATCCAAACTCTCAAAGAGCCTAAAGATTAGATTGTTCATAGCGGCTTGTGAGTCAGTACTGCTCTACGGATCAGAAACCTGGACACTGACAAAGGCTCAAGAAAAAGTTTCCGCAAAAACCGTACAAGATGTACAACTGAACAGTAACACTTTTTGACTGGGTCAAATGCTTTAATGGCCTCCAAATCAGAGGGAAAAAAATCAAAATTGGCCAAGAAATAGGAATTTTAGAGCCCAAAATTTGGACCCCAAAGTGGTGTCAAAAACGCGAATATTCAGTATTCAGTATTCAGTATTCAGTATTCAGTATTCAGTATTCAGTATTCAGTATTCAGTATTCAGTATTCAGTATTCAGTATTCAGTATTCAGTATTCAGTATTCAGTAGGTGATAATCAATAATTATTTTGTTTCTCGGATTTATAAATTTTTGGTATCATGGTATAGTTCTAACGATGATGAGATCAGAACACACGGCCATAATTCTGGGAAAACTTGCATTGTTGGAATATCGTGATTTTAAAACGGCCTTGAATCAAAAAAAGTGTTACGAAAAAACGGCGTTATTTTGCTGAAATTTGGGCTCAGCGTCGGACTGTTTTCAAAAGCTCATGATAAATTGTAATAAAATGATGCAATCATGAAAATTTCTGGAATCTATGTACAAATAACTTTTCCAAACGATAGCATAAAGTATGATAAGTTTACAAATATCCGTGTATTTGATAAACGCAATAATATAAGTCAAGTCAGAAACACGCCTACTCGCAAACATTTTGAACTATAACTCGAGCTACAAACGTCGCAAAACAACTGCAGTTTCGGTGAAATGGCGCCAGAGAGTCTGTGGAACGCGCAGTAGAGCTCTCGCACGTGAGAAATGTTCGAGTCAGTCTACCTTGTTTGGCGCGCTGTTTTGTTTCCGTTACGAATGTTGACCTTGTACGCCATTTTGTCGCCATTTTGTCAATTTATACGTAATTTCGTAAATTTCGTCAATACCACGTTTAGCCAAATTCCACAGAGAGCTTATAATTTACTTCCAACACGAAATAAACATTGCTAAGGCCATGAAGTTACCTAATGGCTACTTTTAACGGAAAATCAAGTCATTCTGTGACATGTAGCGTCCTTTTGTCACTTAAATGGATGACGTTGACTCTAGAACATCGTGAAACTTTCCATCAGTAAAGCTAAAAGTATTTCCATTCTAAAAAACTTTACTTCAAGATAATTGCACGAAAGATGAATAAGTGTCTAAAGATCCATTTGATTGAACTTGTCTTCAACTTTTAAGCTGTATTACGTCTCGAAATAAGCGATCGACCGCGCAGGATTACCACCTATATTCAGTATTCAGTATTCAGTATTCAGTATTCAGTATTCAGTATTCAGTATTCAGTATTCAGTATTCAGTATTCAGTATTCAGTATTCAGTATTCAGTATTCAGTATTCAGTATTCAGTATTCAGTATTCAGTATTCAGTATTCAGTATTCAGTATTCAGTATTCAGTATTCAGTATTCAGTATTCAGTATTCAGTATTCAGTATTCAGTATTCAACTGTATTGACTTGTTAATATAAATCAAACGTACTATAATATAAGGCTATGATACAAACTACAGAGTTGACATGTGATCAACTCTACCGTAGAGTCTACCCTGTATCTAGCCCTAAGCCCATTTCTAGGTCAGTTAAATTCTACTGATGGATCACATCACTAATTATACGTCACTAATTGGTGACATGATCTGATCTCCGTGGGACCCCTAATAATGAGGGGGCCTGGCCGTCGTGCAGCCAATTAAATAGGTAATAATTATTTTAGTCTCTTGAGTCTTGACACTATTTTAGGGTTGTAGACAGGTTATTTAGGGTTATAGACAGGTTTCTGCTAGTAATACTAGTGTAACCCGTGCAGCTACGGCCGGGAGTTCATTATCGCACTATAAACCCGCCTATTATATTTTAAAACACGCATAACATTGTCTTATGAAAGTATGAACTCTCTCTATGAACTCTACTCTACAGTCCAAACAGACCGCAATATTGAGTGCAATCCCCCCTAATAAGCTTATAGTATTATTTTGTGGCTAACCTAATTATGATTCATGTACCAACGCTACATAATATGCAGTAATGGGAGAGAGAGCGAGGAGGGAGAAAAAGAGAGCCATTTTTTGTCACATTTGTGGTACAAAATGTGACAATTAAACCACTTACCACCGACCAATTAAACCACTTACCACCGACCAATTTGAAAAACCTTATTCATTTGGCTTCGTCAGAGTTTTGTCGAAACTATACCGAAAAAACCAGTCCCGTAACTCTTACCGTTTTCTATAAGGCCGCTCGGAATTACACGTGCACAGACAGACACACATACAGACACACATACAGACACAAATTCTGAGATTATTGTGTAACTTTAAGATGTGATAGGTCCCTTACCTCTTTATCCGATTCGATTACTATTTGGTATTCCCCGTTCATAGCACTGCAGCACCTTTCACTTTCTGCTTGAACTTTGAAAAAAAGACCTAAATATAGGTATTATAATTATTTTAGGTATAGGGCGAGTTGCCAAATTGTTAATTTCTCAAACCTTTTTATACCCGACCGAAAGTAATCGAATTGAGTGAAAATGTTAGTTCCTGAGTTTCATCGTGCCCTTCAAAATACATGGATCTTTTATTATTTATGTGATGTGTGTACTTTTCGAAAGGTTGTTGAAAGATCATTTTTTCAAGCTTCGGTTTGAAGAACAATTGACCGATACAAGTTATAGATTCTTTGAGTGCTCCAAGCACAGTGTAATAATATCATAGCTACCGTACCAAATTTTCAAAATAATATATGAAAAACGTATTTGCAGAACACAATTCAATAAAAGAATACGATAGCTGGAAAATATTTGGCAGGTGAAAATCATGATCAGCGAAAAATTAGACGGCGAAGTTGTTGATCGGTAGAAAATAATTCAACCGGTTGAAACTATAAAATTATGGGTGCAACTAATGCCCATATAGACGAAAGGGGGTTGGTTATTATCTAAAGCTTTTTTAAAATTATTATTCAAACAATATACACCCGTTCTCTGCATGGCATGGTTAGCACTGATTGAATTTTCGTTAACGGGTGATACTCGTAAGATATTTGTAATTTGTTCCAACTCGGTGCGCGTCTTGGTAGGTTATAAACCTACAAACTTTTTGAAACCCTGACCCTCTTCACTGACCCCAACCCTAACCACTAACCCAATCCCTAACAAAAGCACATGTGAAACCCTACTAACCCTACTAACCCTAACGAGAAATTGGACCAACTTCCTTATCTGGTTATGACTTATATCACGTGATGGAGACAATGTTTCGCCAATATCTCGTCAGGGGAGCATTTTAACCCTATGCCATGGGGGTGATTCGGAATCAGCGTCCGAAAATACATCGATTCAAGTTGGTTTTAACTGTCGGGGGCTCTTTTATAAAAAGCTCAAAGATTGACTGTAGAGTGATTTGGATTTGGCACGCTCGAGTTAGACATCTTTAACAATATATGCTTATAATAAATACAGTAAATGTAATAGAACTGTAGAAAATTTTAAAATCAGGGTAGAACCATGTTTGTAATATAAAAAGCGGTTCATTAAAAATAAAAATTCCGCAATTTGGAAAATACAATATATTATGTATAACCAAGGTTATAGAACTCTAGGTGATTACATCTCTGGGGCTCCAGCTTGTCCTTTAATGTTTAAATATCTGGTAACCTCGTTCCATACCAAGGGCAAGTTGTTCAGAGATCTGGGCTCGTCTGAAGTACTGCGTAGGAGTTGGTCAGGTGGTTCCAAGTCGCTGCATCATCGCCAATCTCTCTGATTGAGTCGTCAGTATCATTGTTTTTCCTTTCTCGATATCATCGTCCACACTGATTCTTGTACTCTTTCTTTATCAGAAACCTACCTCTCTCTTAGACTTGTAGGTAAAGAGTCGCTCTGATAAACCACAATGCGACGGCTATTCGGACTCCAGTAGATACGGATAACCAAATACCAGTAGTATGTTTTACGCTAAAATCAAATGTAGAATATTCTAGAAATCCAATACACTGCTGACATAAAATATTGTTAAAATACTGTAGGTACCTAACGCTATATTATACCTTATAAGATCAAAGAATATTGAAAATTTAAAAAAATTTTCTTAGCTATGATCCCGGTCCCAATCCCGGTCCGGTCTTATTCCCGGTCCCGGTCTTATTCCCAGCGGTCCCAGTCTTATTCCCGGTCACGGTCTTATTCCCGGTCCCGGTCTTATTCCCGGTCCCGGTCTTATTCCCGGTCCCGGCTAACGGCTTAATCCCGGTCCCGGCACTTTTTTCCAGTCCCGGTCCCGGTCGATCCTTGAGTGTAACCCAGGCAGCTACGGCCGGGAGTTCACTATCGATGTTGAAACAAAAAAGTACAAACTCGTTTAATCGTAAACAAGCATCAAGCAATCAAGGTACGTTTGTAAAAAGATCAAAGAATATTGAAAGTAAATTTGCTCAGCTATGCGATCCCGGTCCCAATCCCGGTCCCGGTCGTATAATATATATTATTATATATATTATATTATATATGGTAGAAAGAAAACTCCATTTACGGACGGGAGGAGAGTTAGGACTCCTCGATAACTACATTAAATACATTCCTTCCGTAACGTCCTGAATAAATATAATTACGAAAACAAAATTTACTAAACATTTAAAAACATTACTGAACACCAAAATTATAATACTAATGCAAAGATACAACAAAAGAACAAATAATAATAACTCAAAACAAATAACAACATAATGTAACATAATAGCAAAATAACATAATAACAACAAAATAACATTAACAACAAAACATGCGATAATTGATCCGATCTACCGGACAACTGAACCCAATTTGGGAAAATAATTATCAATCAGTCTACCTAATTAACAATTTGAAACGACAACTGAAACCAATCGTCACTAGAAATAATTAACAGATAAACAGGTATCAAAATGCCGCTCTAGTTTAGCTACTGCCTGGTAAAATGCCAGAAAAACACAAGCCTAGAGGCCCAGTGGCATAAAGTGAGGAATTTAAGAATCTAATTCCTAGCCATCAACTTAATAACACCAGAATGTGTGTGTGTCTGTGTGTCTGTGTGTCTGTGTGTCTGTGTGTAATTTCCGAACAGTTATACAAAAAAAACGGTAATAGTTACAGGACTGGTTTTTTCGGTATAGTGCCGACAAAACTCTGATGAAGCCCATAAGAAAATTTTATAAAAATCGGCCGGTGGTAAGTGGTTTAATTGATGATTTTGTTCCAGAAATGTGACATAAATGGATGGGAGAGAGAACGAGGAGGATAACATGTACCGTAATTAGTTTAGCCCCACGTAATATCAGAGCTCACTCTTGCGGCCGCTTTGTTTTAACTGTAGGGAGATTTCATACTTTCATAAGACAGCATTATGCGTGATATCAAATATATAATGCGGTTGTATACTTTTACATTGCAACTGTGACAGTAAATTCCCGGCCGAAGGCACGGGTTACACTAGTAATAATAATATTTCCACAGCCACCGACTGATTTTTGTCCACAAACATGTTTAAATCATATTAAAATCTCGATCCTTTCTCCGGGTTTTACTGTTAGAGAAACCGTCTGTGTCCAGAAGTAGTTGAGCTCCTCTTTGTCCGTTGGTGTACTTGCTGAAGACAACCATGATTCGATACTGTGACCACCATCTCTCTTCCTTATGTAATTGATCCGATCTGTATAACAAGCGATGAAAAGGTCTCAGGTGTCTTTCGATCGCAAGATCTGTCCTCGGGTAATCGACAACGGAACCCAATTAAACCTAGTTCCCATGCAATTAATAGGCACCCAATCAGCTTAATTGGGTGATCACCAATCAGCGTAAAATCAGCGTAAAAAAAACGACAACTGAACTCAGGTCATATCAAAATTGTACCGAAATGCGACAACTGAACCCAAATTTTTGTAGATCAGATTTTCAGGTTAGTTTGGGGGCCAGCATTGGGAAAATAATTTTAAACCCAATCAGTCTACCCAATTAACTTTGAAACGACAACTGAACCCAATCGTCACTAGAAATAAGTGTTGTGGGGGTGACCGACAACTGAACCTAGTTCTCACGCAGTTAACACGCACCCAATCAGCTTAATTGGGTGTCCAATCAGCTTAAATCCCAAAACGACAACTGAACCCAGGTCATATCACAACTGCACCGAAATCGGAAATACGACAATGGACAAGTGAACCCAACGATCGGATTTTCAGGTTCTCCTTATTCGCAGGAGACTGTGGTCATTATCACTACTAGCAGGAACCCGTCTAACCCTAAAATGGTGTCAAGACTCAAGAGACTAAAACAATTATTACCTATTTAATTCGCGTTTTTGACACCACTTCTGGTACCAAATTTTGGGCTCTAAAACTCCTATTTCTTGGCCTATTTTTTATTTTTTCATGCTGATTTGGAGGCCATTAAAGCATTTGACCCAGTCAAACAATTTTCAGTTGTATATCTTTGACGGTTTTTGCAGAAATTTGCGTTAAAGTTGATGCCGTGATGTCAGTAAAATGGCACGGATAAATGTATATATATATATATATCGTCTCGCTTTATATATAGTAAGATAAGGGTCGTTCACATATTAGTATTACGTTATCAGCTGAGGGGGGGTTTCCGAATGATTACACTAGCCAATAAAGTGGTTCAGGTTAATTGGCTCAGAGTCAGATCTCGTTTCTTCTGATGCTTTGGGAGGGCCTGCAATGGTTCAGATCTCGAGCCTTGGGTCGGATCTCGATGCTTGAGGAGCAGTGGATCGTATCCTTTTTGGCACGCTTCGTGAACACGTAAGCTTGTTAGATCATATCTCGCGATCGAAAGGCAGTTGTCGTTTCAAAGTTGATCAGGTAGACTGATGCGGTTTAAAATTATTTTCCCAAGCTACCCTGCCTAGGAAAAGTCCAAATTGGGTTCAGTTGTCCGGTAGCCTGTTGCGCTGGAGATCGTTGTTCATGTTGTTATAAAGAATCTCGTCAAATTTCACCCAGTCAGTGTTTGTTTTGGTTCTTTTTTGGGACCAGATGTAATATCGAACATAATATATCTGTGATCGGAGTTTGAGTAAAGATCGCTAACGTGCCAGTTGCTGATCAGTTCAGCCCCCAGTTGGTTGGTTATGGTGAGGTCAATGATGGAATTATGACCGCATGAGTTAAGGAATGTTGGAGTTTAACCTTTGTTAAAACAGGATCGAGAGCCCTAGCTGCTAGCGACGACAGGAAGTAAAGGAGTTCCTCCCCTCTTATATTGCACAGCCTGTTACCCCAAAGAGTGTGTTTGGAGTTGGTGTCCGAGCCTATTATGAGCGGTATTTTGTTGTCTATATCGTATTTGGCTAGAGGTGTGGTTTCGTGGGATGGAGCTGGTCCATTAATATCCATGTACGAAGCTGCCAGAATTACTTCTGTCGAGCTAAGTTGAATCTTAATAACTACCTGATCCGGGGTTGTGAATTGCGATAGTTCCCAACTTTTTTCAGCTAGGTTGTTGTGTATTACTATGAGTATGGCGGCACGGGGCCTAATCATAATGTCCCCGCCTTGGTAATAATATTAATACTCGGTTAGTTCTTTGCCAATTGGTGGGATTAGGTTTTTGTTATTGGTGTATGGTTCAGTCGCGAGTACAATAGGATTTTTCCTGCCATGAGTGTTCACCAGCAGGGTTTTCCAAGCGTTGTACTTGCGTTTAAGGTTGATTTGAGTAACAGAGTAATATTAATAATGATTTTTACCTGTTTTTTTTTTGGTGTTGGGGACGTGGCGTGCAGCATCTGCAATTACCCTCACCGGACAGGTACTAAGACCTTTTGGATCGGGCACTGTGTCGGGGGGCTGGTCGAAGTCGAATAGCAGCAACCATGCAGCGTCTCCAGGAGAAAACTGTGTTTCTCTAAAAATGTCTCACCCAAAGGTTTACTGGGCGGCGCTCTGCAGCCTGTCATTCCGCCGAATCTCTATGTTACTGAACATGATAGCCTGAGGTCCCCAGGTAGCCGAAGGTGAGACATCCATATCCACCCAAATTGTACTACTTCGGTAGTGCATATAGTTAAACTAAAAGTAAAATTGGAACGATACAGAAAAGATTAGCATGGCCCCTGGGCAAGGATAAAATGGCATAAATTAAGAGACTTTCTCTATGGAGAAAATGGAAAAAGTAAAAACCCTTAAATAATTCTTCATTTTATGCCATGAATTTTGATCATTGAATTCGGTATGTGGCAGCTTACTTGGACACACTATGCACTAACATGTTTATTTTCGCATACCAGGCTACTCAAAGCTCATACGAAGTTACTAGAGGCTCATGCCAGGCAACTAGAGACACATACCAGGTTGACTATTGTTAATGATCAGGCCCGGCGCGCACTACTTCGTAGCACTTGCCATTTCGAGAAGACAGCAGCGCACGCTACTTCGTTAACGGGTGATACTCGTAAAATATCTGTTCCATATATTGGAATATATATATATACAGGACCGTCGACGAGTCCAACTCGGCGCGCGTCCTGGTAGGTTGTAAACCTACAAGCTACTTCGAAGAAATTTTGACGAATAACATCCGTCAAATACCAGGCTACTTGTAGCGCGATGCGTTAATGGGCCGCGCCGCGCACTCAATTATGCTTCTCGCTTAATCGGCGCTAAATTGACATTGTCAATTAACAGGCTACTACTACTAGAGGCCAAGATCGATTCGACCATTTTGCAATTCAAATTCCACTCAATTTCACTCTGATAGTGATATACAATTTAGAAATCGTTCGGATATCCGGCTATATATAATAGTAAGTAGTTATATATCAAAAGGTGATTGGCCGAATATCAATCAGAAATTTCATTAATTTTTAGAAAAAATTCTTAAGGTTCCGAAAAATATTTTTGGCTCATAGTCATAATAATCAAAATAACTTTTTTGACTTCGACAATTTTCGGTCCGAGTCATCCTCGACACGTTGTTGGTTTACAACCTACCAGGACGCGCGCCGAGTTGGACTCATCGACAGTCCTGGAACAAATATTATACGAGTATCACCCGTTAATCGACACGTACCTTTATATTAAGGGCCTTTATATTAAAGGCAAAGCTCCCGCTTCCGAGCTCGCACTGCAAATAGGGGGTGCACGATAAAAATAAACTTGCTCGGATTTTAAAATTTTGTCATGTACCACTGTTTTCTAGAGACTGTGAGAATTTTCACAATACCAAATTTGTCATACCTTTTTGGAAAGATCAGTGAGTTTCGCCTAGGTGCCATATTCGATGGTGCGCGGCTTTTGGAGCAAAAGTAGCTGTAAAAGTCGCGTAATTTGACCAAATTCGTCCAAATTTGACCATTTTTGTCGTAGTATTCGGATATATCTTCAGTTCCTTCAATGGGATCATTCTGGAAATTGGCGACGACCTTCCATAAGGGCTTTCACAACTGTCCGAAAAATTTGGTGGATATCGGAGTTGATATAGTGATCAAAATGGGGCAAAATACGCTGCTTTTAGCTGTAACTATGTAGTGCGCCATCGACAGTGAGCCGCGCGTGCCGACTGTATAGTAGAGGCTGTTACGGGCAAATATCACGCTTTTCTGCACGAGCCCTGGGACTTCTTTTAGGGATCCTATATGATAGTATGGATTGTACTGAACACTCTGACGGTATCGGGAACCTTCTAGAGCCTTCAGAAGCTGTGTTGTGAGCACTTTACTGCCAAAACTTCGGACATCTACAGACACCGGAATATCGACTAAAAATTTTTTCTGAGTTGTTCCCCTAATTTCTCTTAGGTTGCTTAAGCCCTAGAAAGTGTCAGATCGTTTAAATATTGCTCCATTTTGGTGTTAGAGACCTCGAAAATTTCGACCTCGTAGAACGTGTTGCGCGTCGTATGTAGTGTTTACAATAGAAAAAGTGCACTTAAATCTGATTCGGTTGCGGCGCGTGACGTATCTAGCACGATATTTGCTCGAAAGCGCGTCACTGCGCCAGAAACCTCGTGGTACCGTATAGTAACACTGTAGAAATAGATAATCACAAGAGACACAATAAACGTATCATCACTATACTATGCAAAGTTAATGTTAAAATGATACAATAGCCCTGCTTTAACAGATTAATCCACATAAACACTATATTTCTACAGATGCCACCGATCAGTAAATCGAACATGTTTTTGAAGATAAATCTTCTGATAGAATTCGTTTCTACATTGAAAGATTTCTTTTCTAATCTCCTTTATGAGTGCTGTCTTTGTTAAAGTGTTATCATCTCTATCCGCATCTATTGTTGCGGCAAGATTAGATACGATCCTGCTGTCGAAACAAACTCGTCTTACCGACATTGTCTTTCTGAGAACTGATGTGATCAGATTAAACATTGCTGGAGTTTGCAGCGTTCTCAGATAAATTAGACGTCACATAGTCATTGTACTTAAGCTTCAGGTCAGACACGAGGTACAGTTCTGGTAAAACATTCTCCTGCTCCAGTTAAAAGGTCCGTACAGCATCAATACCTGCACTCATTAATGCAGCATTGGTGTTGTCGTGCGTGGACACGTGTCTTTCCATTTTAAAACCTGCCTTAGAGACAGGTTTTAAACTTACAGCTTCAGATAATTTACCCTTCAATTGTTTCACCCTCGAGTTGCTGTACCTCAAACGACATGTTTTGTGATATCTACCTAGCTTGCCATAGAGATATTTTCCGAGACTCTCCGGGTTAAGAACAGGGCACTTGTTCATGTGCGAATTAGGATTAACATCGATGTTGCACAGATCCTGACGATTTCTGTAGATGTCCACAGATAGTATGTTGCGAAATCGACGAAGAAACTTTTATCTTTTCCTTGAATCAGACTATCCTTTTTCGTTTCTAACGTCTAGGGAAATTCGTATTGTTAAAGAAGAATAACCTCTCATACTCTTAAAATTAAATCGAGATAATATGTATAATAATTATATTTGCGAGCAAGTTTCACACAAACCTGTTCAACCTGGCATATGAAACACAAGTCTCAGTCCATTTCAAACAAATCAACATCTGGTCCACTTGATTGGGAACTAAATGAAGAAGTCTCCACATTTTCTTAGTTCTATTCGAGGAGGGTGACAAAGGCGGGACTTTTTCCACTTGGATGGCAATAGCTTCTTCAATCTTCATCACAAGAGGATTCGTCAATTTCAGAAACAGCACTGTACACCTGCAAATACTTTATTACTTCCCACATTTATATCAACAGTATCATATCACATAAGTTTGAAATCGTACAAGTGTAATATCATTTTAAAAGTTTGCAAATCCGATAGAAATGGATAGTACAGGGAAATCCGTCTGAAAAAATCGATTTGCCGACACACAAAGCTTACAAAGGATTTTTGACGTTTTTGTGTCCTAATAGGTGTCCTTTATGGCTGACCAACTTTTCCAAACTTTTCCACGTGTCTTAAGGCCACTTTTTGCCACTTTACCACTTTTTACCACCTTTCTTGTTTGTCAAATATCTTTAGTTGTGAACATCGTAGAAAGTTGCAGATTAAACGAGGGTGTTCATATTATCAAGATGAAAAACTTTTGTTGAGACAATTTTTTCCTCAGATAATCAATTAATTGGATAATTATCAATTAGCTAATAAGCAAAAATTTAAAAAATTTTTATTGGCTCTAAATGATTGGAATAGCTTAAAACACGGAGAAAAGTAGTTTTTAGAAAAACTTCGAAAATTTTTCACTTACATTTTTTTTTCAAGACTTGGAAAAAAATTTCGAATTTTCGAAATTTTTTTTCGCCAAAACTTATCAAATTGCATGAAACGTAGAGAAAAATGCTTCTAAAAAACTTCGTGAATTTTTGTTTTCAAGAATACTAAAATCACTTATATTTGTAGTTGGAGTTCAGTAAATCTCGGCAGATTTTAGTAATCAGGAATTATTAAATCGAAATAGATAAAAGGACTGAAACTGAAAAACGTTAACCACAGGATATTAGAGTTTTATAATTAATTACAATATATCCTTATCGATTTTTACAGAAACTGCACCAAAGGCACATTTAAGATCGAGCCGATAGCCTGCTGTACTACGATAATATGTAATAAATAAAACATCTCTGAGTCTATACCGTCAATCGTGCTAATCTGAACCAGCCTACCTGGATTACCATCTACCTCTTCTTTTCATCAATAATTAGACCGAGTTGTGCAAGAAATGTGATTTATTGTAGCTCATAATAATTACATCACCCACCAAATGCAATATGAGTCATATCGCATTTGATGGGTCTGTAAATAATATCGAGCTGTTTTCAATCACACTATCACAATAAAACACAATACGTGTACATCATATGGCCCTTAATGCGGTATATGAAACGCTCTTTATCGGGGTGTTTCTATAAATCTATAGACTATACCGTACACTTCTCGTTTCTCCCGCGAAAGGCCGGTATAGAGAGGTTTTACTGTATCACGAAAACTTCTACTTGTCCTCATGGCTCATTGACAGCTCGAAGAAGGCAAGAAAACATCAGAAAGCCTAAAATGTCAACTCGCTCATTTTAATGTTCTTCGATCCGTCCCACATTGATCCCGAGCTTATCATCATGGCCCCCAAATATCCTGCGGCAAGAACCTGTCTTTTTACTTCATAACATCCGGATTGCAAACCAGCATAATCATTACCGTTTCTTGACTACCCCACGGCTCTTGCCCATGTCCGACGCTCGTATCTAGATCTTATCTTTGCCCGTATATTACTCTTTTTGAATTTAGCCAACCCTGACATATGGGGGTGATTTGAGGTATGAGGTATCTCGCATAGCGAATGAAGTGGTATGCAGAACAATAGAAAACAAGTCACAATAGATGTTGGAAGGTGTATTTACACTTGTTTCCTACTTCCTAGCTCTTCCTTGGTATCCATGGTCTCTTCTTGCCTTCTTCGAGCTGTAAATGAGCCATGAGGCCAAGGAGACGTTTTCGTGATAAACTATACCGGGTCTATCGAGGTATAAAGCGTTTCATATACCGCATTAAGGGCCATTTAATACAAAGGTATTGTGTCGTATATTACTATTGTGATTGAATACAGCTCGATAAGTACTTACATCACCCACTAAATGCAATATGAGCTATGATAAATCACATTTCTTGCACA